ACCGCATTATTGGGGGGCTTTTGGGGGGGGGGGGAGCGGCTCCGGTTGTTGAAAGGAAGCCGCATTGCGCATTTTGGGAGGGGGGGGGAGGCGGGTGAACGGCACATGATAGACGAAGACTCGGGCAGGGAGATTGGTTCAGGCACCAAAATGCGGATCGGTGATGGTGTTCAGGGCTCTCGAGTTTGGAAGCAAGCTGGGATGGGCCAACCGGATGCTCAAGCGAGGGCGGTGTAGGGGGGAGAGGTTGTCGGGATTGATGGAGAGGACCAGAGGGATGGCAGCAGATGGCCACCCAAAAAGCGAGACGACAATGGTATTGGGCACAAGGAGTGGCAGAGTGGCAGAGGGGCAGAGGGGCAGAGGGGCGATTGTGTAACCTGTCAGCATTTGCGGCACATGCACAGTATGCAGGCCGCCTGCAACCTGAACCAGACACTCGGGTCGCTGATGGAAACAAAAGCGGCTAATTGAGATGACACTGAACAACGGGGTTACGACTGTGCCTGAGTAGCCAGTAGGACTAACACTAGGGGGGAGAAAAAGGGTCATGCGCAGGTGAGTAGCCACCTTAGCTATGCAGTGATATCTACAAGTACGGTACCGGCCAGCTTCTAGGCTGTTGTAGGCTATTGTGCTGAGCAGGGTATTATTACCTACAAGTACAAGTCCACATAGGAAGAAGTAGGCATTAACTACCTAGGGTAAAGCTAGGGGAGGCGGGGGCGGGAGCAAGGAGGGCAAGGGAGGGATGAGTGGGCACTCTGGCTCTCTGGTTCTTTGGCTCTCTTCTTTCTCTGGGTCCCGGTGCAAGGGTCACTGCTAGGCTCTTGTCATGGTGCAACTGATAACCGTTCTCCCATTCTCCCATTCTCCTTGTTCCCCCGCCTACATAGTACGTAGCTACAGTGCCCAGTAGGTACCTCGTACTTCGGTCCTTAAGCCACTAGCCTGGTGCGCCCACCAGCCCAGACCCGGTAAGTAGGCACCCAAATCCCCACGAGAAGTGGCCCATGTTCAACTGTTCAACGGTCTCTGGTCTTTTTCTTGGGTCGCTGCAAATCATCTACTGTGCATGGTGTCTGCCGGGCTTCTCCCTCCTCTACCTACCTCGTGCTTGTAGTTGGTGGTGGTACTGGCACTATTTTCAGGCTCTTGCTTTGCTTGGTTGGGACGTTGGAGCTGCAAGCTGTCACTGTCATACTCGGACACCCATCTCATTCATCTCCCCACATTTCTCTTCCCTCATTCTATTACCATCCTGGCACCAGCAAACAGCCAGCTGCACCAGCGGCCAGGCCTCGACTCATGCTCTGGTCTGGTCTGATCTAATTGCTTTCTCCTCCTGCTTCTGCTCCTGCTCCTGCTTCTGCTTCTGCTTCAACTTCCGCTTCAACTTCTGCTCCTCCTTCTCTTCTACTCTTGTGTCCCATCCGACCATCATTTCCATCTTCAACAAACAATTCTCCGTCAACCGCTGGCCGCTGGTGGTGGCGATTATTGAGACAAATATTATTCATATTCAGCCCACACATACATTCACATTCTACACCCATCAAACCCTGTTCACCCCATTATCCTCCTCCTCATTCTTCCTCCTCTTCTCTATCTCGCCTTCTCAACCGCCCCCCCATTCTTTCAGGCTGGACCCTTTGTTCTGATTGCCTCGACCAATCCTCCAAATACCTCGCCGATCAAACCCGCCCTGCCCGCCCTCTCCCCGGCTTCGACCACTTCCATCCAGCGAAACCTTACCTCTGGAACATCTTGCCGCCCAGCCTACTGCACGGTATTCCTACACTAGGTTGCCGCTTGCCCATCGGGTTCAAATCATCTTCAGCACCTTTTGCCCGCTGTTTGGCTCCATCTGCAGTCCTTGACACGAAGTCCATCTTACCACCATTTCCCCCCCCCCCCCCCTCCACGCCTCACGTTGTCTGATGAACCTTATTTCCATCCCACTTCGACCCAACCGAGTTTGAGGAATCATCATTGACAGGTTCTGACTACTGCCAAGTCAGGTGTTATTTGTTCGTCCTGCTATAAGCCTATGGCTGGTCGGCAAGGTTATCTCAACTCGTCCCCAGCACTATCATGTCGTCTTCGGCAACCCCAGTACCGACGACTACGCCCGTTCAAACCATGGATTCCCCTCTAGTGCCAGATTCAGAATCGACTCATTCCTCCGATGAGGATGCTCACTATGATACTCGTTCTTTGACTGCCAGCATCACCGACTATCCCACCCACTGGGGCCGAAGATACCACCGATATAAAGAAGGCGCATACCTATTCCCCAACGACGAAAACGAACAGGTGCGACTAGACGAGCAGCACGAAATCCTCAATCGCCTCCATAGCCGCTTGTTCTTTGCTCCTCTTGACCCAGATATTGTCCAGACGGTGTTGGACATCGGTACGGGCACGTAAGTCTTTCCTCACCCACAGTTGGTCTGTCGCCACTGATGATGATATCCAGCGGGATTTGGCCGATTCAACTCGCCGACTCCAACGTCCTTCCCAATGCCATTATCACCGGCGTGGACCTTTCAGCAGTTCAGCCAGATGATGTACCTTCAAATGTCTACTTTGAAATCCAAGACTGTGCCGAAGAGGACTGGGTACGACAGCCCGGAAGCGTGGATTATTGTCATGTGCGTTTCATGGCAGGATCCCTTACCTCTTATGAAGACTTGATCCGGACGTCAAGGAAATACCTTCGTCCGGGCACCGGATGGTTGGAGTGTCACGAAATCCACCCAGAGCCTGTGTCAGACGACAACACCATTCCCAAAGGTTGGGCCATGAAGGCCTGGGAAGAGCATCTTAACTATGCCGCGACCAAGGCTCTCAAGCCACCACGACCTGTTCGCGTAGCAGCGGACATCAAGACTTGGATGGAAGAAGCCGGTTATGTGGACATCCACGAGCATATCTCCAAGATTCCTCTCGGACCGTGGCCCCGCGATCAACGCCTCAAAAACATCGGCGGCTGGTGGCTTGCCAACTGGCTCGCCGGATTGCAAGGCTTTACCTACAAGCTGTTCAGTGCCGAGGGCTTGAGGTGGTCCCGAGACGAGATCGAGGTGCATTTGGCCGATGTCCGGAAAGCCGCCCTCATGAAGTCGGTCCATTCCTATCAAAGGCATTATGTGGTATATGGACGGAGGCCATCCAAGGAAGAGGAGCAAATGTTGAGCCTGTACGGTCATAGTTGAAGATGCCCGACACCCGGATTGCCTGAGCTGTTAATAAGTGGATTCCTCGGGCGACGCACACCAGCAAATAGGTTCTGTTGACCGCCGTGAGACCCGTGCATCTCGAACACTTATGGTCACTCTGCAACAGAAGACTGTACCGGGCGTGAGGCTGCGCGGTACGTAGGCCAGTCTGGGCAGACGTACGCAGTCGAGCATTTCGGCACTCTTGTGCGCATTCTGGTGTGCTGTCAACCAACTTTAGCCTTGCGGTCAGATCTTGCTGCGGAAGCCTTGATTGCGCCGCCGAGGGCACAATTACGATGCTGTTGGTTATCTGTCATGTTGGCGATGACGGCGGTCGGTTTGGATGTTGGTCCGTCTAATTACCAATGCCGTGTCTACGGCCCACGGACGAACGCCAGTGGTTGAAATTTAGGGAAAGGCAATGGATCTATCTATTGTTTGAAAAGGAAAATCCAAGTTTGGATCTGGAAAGAGAAAATCTCGGGTGTCATGACATGAAGAGAAAAAAAGACCGTTGTCCTTATGACTGACCATGTTCGTCCAAGTACCTGGTACTACGTCCCTCATGCTCATGCCGATGTTGATGCCTTTTGCTGCTCTTCTCCCTCTCCCTCTTCTTTCTGCACGTCGTTCGTGTCTTGTCTACTTTCCGGGGTATAGACGATCTGAGTAGAAATGCTTCTCAAGGAAACATCGGCCTGGCATCCGCATCGTATCGGTGCATCGTGTCACTGCATCCATCCTCCTCGCCATACCTATGGACTCGTGGATACTCAAACGGTAAACAAAGGGGAAGTTTGCGACAGGGTAACGGGATGCATCGAACGCTGTATTATGGTTTGATGCTTGGTGATCGAGCACCGTGCATGGACGTGTCCCGTCTACATCTATTGATTATCTACATTGCTCAACATTCAGCAAGACAACAACTATCGGGGCGAAGTTCCAACTTCTCAATCTCCATATTATGTAGTTTCAACCCCCCCCCCCCCCCCCCCCCCGGCGGGCAGCGACGAGCACATGTACACACACGGACCGGCATGGCGCATTTAACTTGATCCCCTCGAGTCCGTCCTCGAGCAAAAAGGTCCACGGAAACGTTAAAGTCCGACCGCATCACCTTCGCGCCGTCACTGGTGTACTTGGATGAGAGTGTCCGAGCGTCACAGAGAGAGAGAGAGAGAGAGAGAGAGAGAGAGAGAGAGAGGGTGTGTGTGTGTGTGTGTACGTACACGCGTAGCTTAGTCTCCGAATAGGCGAACAGAGAAGAAGGAAAAGAAACGCACGTAATAATACATACCTCCCTAGTACTAGACAATAGATGCAGAAACAAGGAAATAACACACATACACACACCATGAACTACCTAGGTCCATGTCGAGCCCGCGGGCAAAACAAAAGTACCTCGCTCCTCTCACCCCCCCCCCCCCTCCTTCTACACGGTTCCCCCCGCTCCTTCGAATATCAGAGATTGAGAGGATTGAACTTGTGTGGATTGTCTACCTGTGGAAAGCGAGGTAGTCTACCTACGGAGCTACCCGGGGACGTCAGGGGAGGTAAGGGGAGGTAATATACATATATACAAGTGTGTGGATATATATATTTATATACTCAAGAGGTGGCAAAACGAAGAGGTTGGGCATGTCCTCTTTTTCTCTCTCTCTCCTCTACTCTCCTCTCCTCTCCTCTCCTCTACAGTGATAGTACTCTCCCTCCTCGTATCCGCTTATTCGCACCACCCCCTTTGCGCCTTACTGCTAGTGGCCCCTAGATCCCCCAGTCCCCAGATCCGCGAATCCTTCGTAGCATGCACGCGTGCAGGTAGGTTTGGACAAGGTAGCCAACGAACGAACCAGACTGCCGAGTCCGCCTCGACGCGGGACCACATGGCGGCATTCGTTGAGGCCACGCAGAGGCCGGGCTAGCGAGCTAAGCTGCAGACCTCTCCTGGCTATGGACGGAGTCCGGATGTTCTTTGTACTGAGAGGGAGACTGGAATGTCGAACTAATGAGGAAGTGGAAGAGGAAACAGACAAGCATGCACAGGACAACTCGTTGGATTGGTCGCTCCATTACATTACAGCATCGCCCGGAGACAATAGCTCTCAGGTCTTGCTCCGGCTCCATCATCCCTCTCCTCTCCATCTCGTTCTTCCCTCTCCATCTCGTTCTCCCTTCTCCAACTCTTCCAGCTCTAGGCTGGACGCAGAACCGGCTGACAATCAAATATCGGATATCAATGGTCTTCTCCCCTTCCCCTGAACATACGCCAAAAGCGCCATGCACTATATGTCCCCATGTCCTCCCCAAAATGACAGGAAGCAGACATTCAGTCATCAACAAGATGACATTAGTAAGGATGGTCCAGTTGCCCGCCCCTTCTATGAACAAAGATAGCGTGCTTTTGAGAGACTGAAGCAAGTCCATTTCGTCAGACCTCAATCCCGTCCCAATTTGCGACAAGAATAGCGCCGGCCCCGAGTCGGTAGTCGTCAACAAAGAAAATCATGGGTATCATGGTGGCATCATCATCATCTCCTTTTTGTGAGGTCCAAGCCCTCTATTTGTGTCAGTTTCCATTGTTTACACCGCAGGTACACCAGGTCTCGACCCTAGATTGCCCAGTAGAGCTTCTGGGGGCACCCGACGGATGTTTGAATGTTTGTCCGCGTAAGGCACGCTGGGCACGCTCTTGTAGCCAGCGCGCTTTCGTTGGATGTAATTCAGGATGATGCCGATTAATATTATCAGGAAGATTGTGCCCAGTGCTGCACAGAGGGCGACAAGAATGACTATCCCCAAGGAATGGCCACCTTCTGGAGAAGCGGGTCAGTCATAATCCTAACAGCAGAGACTTCGGCTTGACTTACCACTTGATCTGAGAACGTTGGTTTGGGACGTGAAGACTTGGCTTATGCTCCCCGGGTTTCCGTCTGCTGTAGAAGCTAATATGAAAGGTTCCATGTGGGTTCCGTTAAACAATGCCGCTGCAGCATTTCCGAAACCACTGATGTTCAGTTGACCGGTGACGAGCAAGGCATAATCGTTGTCAAGGTATTGGGATGATCCGTGGTCACGAGTTAAAGGCACGATTTGCAGGCCGCGGATGCTCGTACCAGTGCTGAAGGCATCAGCGATTGGTCTCACGTTGATTCCGTCGATCTTGATCAAAAATGTCGAGCCGTTGTTGGCCGTACCTGCTACCCACATATGATTCCCATCGGTTGTGGCAGGGCAGAATGCAGTCACGGGCCCAGGAATACCCGCAATTTCATACACAGACCATGTTTGACTGCCGGTGTTGTAGGTTGCAAGGGACGTCTGATTGCCCTGGACCTTCAGGTTGCCAGCAGCCAGAAGATCCGAACCAGTCCTCCAGAACAAAGACGAAACGGTGCCGTCCAATCCTGTCCCCACTGTATTCCACTGGCTTGTCGAGGTGTCATACATGCAAACAACGGGGCAAGATAGATCTTGAGATGTGCGGTCAAACGCTCCACCCACATAGACGGCTGTTGTACCCGACCGTGGGGCTATGGCATTGACCGCCACGTTGGGACCTTGCAAGGATGCTGGTTGGATCGCCCGATATGCCGCGGTACTCATGTCATACAAAACCAGCCCGTTAATGTCGGTATTCTCGACTCGTCCAGAAATGGTGCCACCAGCAAAGAGGATGTCTTCTGAAAGGGCCAGCGCTAGGACGGTAGAACTGGCATCCATACCAGCAGGAGGTCCCGTCACACGGTTGTTATTGGAACCATTCAAGAACATAAGATTCTCAATGCTGGACCCGCTTGTTGCAGTGGCAGTGAAGTGACCTCCCATGATGGTCACATTTTGTCCATTGCCGGTATAATAAAGCCCTGTATTGACACCAGTCACATTCTGCGGAGCTTGCACAGCTCGTTTTCTTGTGCTAGATTGAACATCGCTGGGAGTGATGTCGATGGGTAGTCGCGAAAGCGCGACCTGACCACCGGACTGAGGTTGAAGGCCGGCAGCCCCACTGACAGCCAGCCCGAGTGACTCAATGGTTCCAGCTCCAAGCCAAGTCTGGTTCGGTAGAAATGTCGCGGCGGACAGTTGACCAGCCAGAGCCTCCTTGGGAACGTCGAGGTTCGCCAGCCAGCCACTCTTGGAGGGTACCCAGATTGCCAAGCCATTCGCCCGAGACACAGGAGTAGAGCCAGATGCGAGGATGCGTGTGAAAGAACCGCTGAAGGCAACCACAGTCTCTGGGCCGCCGCTCTGAGAGATATTAAGTAGCATGGGTTCAACTGCTCCCACCGGCCCATCAAGTCCCGCGCCCAGGGGGACCCATACATTTTTGGAATATTGATACGCAGCGACGTTGCTCAGACCATCCACATTGCCCTCAGCAGTGCTCGTGAAATTGCCTCCGACATACAAAAAGTCATCCAGGCTGTACATGTCGCTCACGGCCGCGTTGAGGCCACCGTCAGGCAAGGAAGACGCGTTGTTGTTGTGGAAAGCCATGATGTTCTCGAAAACATCGTCGGAGAACCGGCCCGCTGCGTAGATGGTGTCATCACGCGTTGCAAGTGCCAAAACATTCGCGTTTGGTTTGAGCGTGGTGCCGGCATTATTAATGGCAGATTTCGAGAAGTCGGCGGTGGCGTAATCGACGGTATGATTGTTGGGATCATAGTCAAACAAACCATTTAACCCACCGGTCGTAGAAGTGAAGCCGAACTTGACTCGAGACGCGACAACCAGCTGCGCAGGCTGTTGGCCCGATGGTCTGAGCGTCACGGATGGCCGAAAAGATGTCGTAGTGGCATCCACATGTCCTTGGTAAACTATGTCGTACTTGTCGAAATCGTTGGTTTGGAAGAGCGTCGTGCCGAAAGACTGTTTGCCATCCTCGGTCAAGCTGCCAGTGACATTAACAATGGCACGTGCCGAGCAAGAACTATCCTGCAGACAGCCAGGAGTATAGACAATGACGGAATAGTTTCCACTCTGCGGTACATCGGGTTGGAAAACTATGAACGTGTTGTCGACGGTCGTGGGGCCAACTACGACGGTGAGATAGTCGGACACACTTTCCCTCGACGGAGTCGTATACCAGGACCCAGTTGCGGTGGCATCGGATCGTACGGCACTGGTTTCGCAGGTAGGCTCATTGAAGGCCTCAATGGCGTAAGAGAAGATGTCGTTTTGAAAGAGTTCGATTCCAGCGAGCCCACCTCCGTCTCCGTACCAGGCCGAGATGTCAATGGTGAAGCTGTTCATCCCTACCAGATTGACGAAATAAAAGTCTTGATACGGTTGTGACGCGTTGTACACTGCGAGGGGACACGTTGAGGAGCAGGAAATGAGATCTCCAGTGGCCGGGTCGGTAGTGGTGAAGTTGAGGATGCCATTGAGCGGGTGCGCGGTAAATCGCCACGTCTTTGTGCCTTTTCCACTTTGACTTGTCTGCCATAGCCGGAGCTTGGTGGGCTCAAAACCGAATGCCAAATCCGCGCGCCAACTACCGGCAGTATTATCGGCGAGCAAAAAGTCGGACGAGCCATCTGAGCTATTCGATGGACAAACAATGTTTCTCGGATCTCCTAAGCCGGCCGTGCTCGTGTTGCCGCGGGCAGTGACATTAGCGGTTGAGAGATTGATAATCTGAGATTCTGGATTTTTCAGAGAGCTGGACGATATGTTGCCGAGACCAGTGAAAGAACCTCCAAAGATGATGTGGCCATCGGGAGCTTTGGTGATGGAGCTGACCGGGCCATCGAAACCCGCGAAGGGCAAGCTGGACCAGCCACCCGCTGCCCATCCAATTGCATTTGTCGAATTACCCGCGTCAAAAGCACCGCCAACGTACAGCATTGAATTATCTTCATCACAATAGAGCGCCGAGACGGTTCCTTGCACCCCGCCGATCGCCTGGACCTCCAAAGTGGTTGCGTTCATCCATGCCAGAGATCGCGCTGCGACTCCTCCGACACTGGTGAAATTACCTCCCACCACAATTCCCATGAGTGTGCTGTTAACCACCAAGGGACATATTGCTTCGATGCTGGCATCGGTGGAGGACAGAACGTCGAATGCCCCGTTTGGTAGCTGCGACAATACTGACTGCGTGCCATTGCTACTGTATCCTTCTTGTTGCCCAATTGACGTGTAAATAGAGATTGCGTCAAAGTCGCCCGCGAGGATGACCTCCCCAAGCGACTTGATGTCGAGATTAGGTGGAGGTATTGTCTGCGAAATTCCTTGCGCAGCAAGTAGCAGTAGAGCGGTCGACGCCTTGGAGCCGAACCGAGACAGCAGATGCATGGTTTTATGCGAGCTGTGTCTGCGCCGCAGCGACGAGACGGAGGGAGGTGCTACAACGGTGATATTCGTAGAGGCATGCTCAGTCGGTGACGATGCGGACCAGAAGACTTGGTAGAGAGCTTCTAAAACTGGGATCTCGGAGTTGGGGGTTGTCGATCGAGCGCGGTGGGATTTAAGCTGATGACCCGAGAGACACACGCGTGGACAAGACTGAGCAGGAGCAGGGATCCGTTGAAACGGGGTGGTGTTCTGGCACTGGTGGAGCAGCAGGTATGAGGGTGTGTTGATATTTTTCACGACCCAAACCCCGAACGCAGCTGGGTCACGGGAGGGGATATCGACAAAGGACGACGGACAGGAAGGAGCGACAGTCGTGAACAAGAGGATGTTGGTTTTTGCTAGAAGCTGCAGGGAGTGGGAAGGTCGAGATGAAGATCCTTGGAAAAGACGTTGCCAGTGACGAAACGAGATTGATTGTCCGTAGTGGAAAGGCGAACAATGGATGCAATGGACAAGCAATCGAGGAGGAGATGGGAGGTGTTGGATGACTGACGGGGCAAGCCACAGGCTCTCTCAGAGACACCTCACAGGCTGCTCATAGGCCCAGGGCTGGGAAGGTCGGGCACGGTCTGGGCACGAAAACAAGGCCAAGTGGGGGGCCGACGTGGGTGTTGTACCACCTGCAGAAGTGCGGCTGGAAGAGGAAGAGCGTCAGAGAAGCGACGCCCGAGAGTGGTCAATCTGCAGCGTAGGACCAGGAACCCTCAGCGAGAAGCTTTTAGGGGCCTCCCGTTGCTGCAGAGTCGGATGTCCAAATGCCCGGCGTCACCCAGTCGCCCAGTCAGGCCCCGTGGAATGGCTGCCACGCCGCGAGGCCACCTGTGGGCACTGGGCACTGTGCGCTGGTCACCTCCATCCACTCCCCCAGCCTCAATCTGGGCCCTAAATTGCTGCCACCAATGGTTGTCCAGAAGCCCTCATCAAACAGCCATCTTGTCCGATCGACTGGACAACAGAATGGCCGCAGAATCTTCTACTCTTCTCGTCTTTTCGAATGAAACCACCAGAGTTGACTACCGACCGCGGAATGCTCAGATTTGCCGTGTACGAGAGATCCAACGCCCTTCAAGACATTCAGCTCCAGCTCTGGGCCAGCCTCTGCCACACTCCGGATATCTGACGCCGCTGGAGTGCAATTTCCCCAAAGGAGTGTAGTATAGCGTAGTAAAGCCCTCTCCCTTTGCTTGCATCCCGGTTACAAGACCAATTTGATTTGACCTTCTTGTTGATTGGGCGCGCCGTGGGGAGTGACACTGCGTAAAGTGCCCATCTCCTGCATCATCATCATCATCATCATCACCACCACCACCACCATCGAATGATGGAAACTAAGTAAGTAGTTATGTGCGGAAAACCAGGACACTGCACTTCGGCTGTTGCAACAGCGTCGTCATCGGCCTCACTAGCCAGGGAAACCCATGCTTCAAAGGCCTCGGACTTGGACGAGGCCAACGAGGTCCAGTAGTAAATACAACATACTTAGGTACTCCGTAGCACCGGGCCATGCTTGGTCCTCGAATGTCAAAAGCCCACAAGAACGACACAGAGGCAAGGAAGACACGTGACAATGAAACACCCAAGGGTGATCACAGTCTCCATCCTGTGTCATCTGTGATCTTACACTTGTGTTTCGACAATTCGATATCCTGGATCCTAGCACCACCAGCACCACAGCAGTTTCATCGTCTACGTCGTCGCCGTTGGACCCTTTCGCTAGAATTTGTCGTTCTTACCTCTTCAATCCTCATCACCGTCTTTGGCTCTGCCTGCTCAGCCTTTCGTTTGAGGGATACCCGTTGCGCAGTCTGCTTTCTGACCACCTTCAGCGGCCCGTCATTTTCAATCTCCCTCTGCTCCCCCCCTCCTTGTTCGACGCTCACTTCCACCTTTGTTGTCAACCTCTCCGCGAACGTCCTCAGGTCCGCCGTGAACAACACGCTGTGCGCCCACCCCGCCTCTTTCCCCCAGATCTTGCGAAAATGATTGGCGACCGCGTCGTATGTGCCCTTGGTCATACTCGTATTCTTTCCTTTTTCCAACTTGTAGTCTCTTTGCGCAATCTGCCACACGTGCGTGTCTACTGGCACCGCTTCTCCCCATCCCAGCCCCATCAGACACACACAATCCGCCACTTTGGGTCCCACGCCTTGTAATCCCAGGAGATTCTCATGTGCTTGGCGATAACCGTCGCGGCCTTCAGGTTTCATTTCGCCAGCGGGGGAGGGTTTGGTGGTGCCATATGCAGGAGACTCGGGGTTGCGAAGAGTGTCCAACCAGCCAACCTCTCGATCGTCGGCAATAATTTTCGCCGTCTGATATATGTACTTGGCGCGGTAGCCGAACCCTAGTTCTCTCAGGTTGCTCTCAACATTCTTGCCCGTCAGCGCTGACGGCTCTGGAAAGTCATGGTACGGGCGACCATCCAGTGTGCCAATGTATGTCCCGTAGTGCGTGCACAGCTTGTCCACCATCTGCGATATTCGTATGATATTGTTGTTACTGCTGCAAATGAACCCGATCAGCGCTTCCCAGGCGTCCTGCCGCAGGATCCTCACACCAGTAAACTTGGGCGCCTTCCTGCGGAAATTGGCATCCGACGCCGACCATTGGGCATAGAGGGTTTCAAGATTCGGCTCCAGGTTAAGATAGTGTTGGATCAGGTTTCTCGTGTCGTCATTTTCGATTTCACTGTTGCAGCTCTCATCTGAGACTGTGGTCGGTGGGATCGACGAAGGAGGCGTCAGCGGCACTTCAAAGGCCGCAGCTGCAGGCCATATCGAGCGATACTCGATATGCAATTTGTCGGGCTGAGACAGTTGTACAATGCGACCACGTAGTGTACATGCCCAAGTCTGGTCGTCGCATTGACGCCAGCGAAAGGACTGACCACAGCGAAGGGTAGTCGCGAGGCATAGTTCGTTCAGGGAGACGGGAAGCCTGCGCCATTCGCTGATTCGGGTCATATCGAGGACGAACTATGAACAGTTGGGTCGGTAGCTGGAAGAAAACGTGAATAACAAGGAGCAACTGCGAACCCCCCTTCTTAAGATTGAAAATGATCCCTGAACAACCTTCTGCGGCTGAATCCCACTACTGCGTGGAGGGACTTTTAGCAGCCGCGATCGCGAAGGCGCCGCTTCCCCACGCGGCGCGGCACTAACCGAGCGACTTGTAACACACTCGGCCTCATTGCATAATCACAGCTAGTGTACCTCGTGGGTGGTGTGGTTTGAAGAGCTTTCTATCTGCGAGTGCTTTGTTTTGGTATCCCTTTGCTAACGACGCTCGGCCCCATAAGAGCTAGTCTCTGACTCTACATCACTGTCGAGTGCATCCATCCCTATCCAAAGTACATGAAAGAAGATCTGAAAGTCCGTGCTGCTCAGAAATCATCTAATGTTCCATCTCTTCAATCCAGCTTTCTTTCCCATATTCATGATCTAGCGGGAAGGAACCTTTCCCAATACACGAACCAACTAGAGATCGAGTCTCTTTTCGGGCTCAGGTTGTCCAAAGGTGGCAGCTGCATCCCGGCCGGTGACAACAGCTTCGCCATGAATGACAAGGTTGTCGTCCAGGATGGAATTGCCGAAAACCAAGTATTCGTGTCTGCCCTTCCAGAACCAGTACACTCCTCCAAAGACCACAACACCAGCAAGGATGACAATTGCCCAGTTCATGTTCGCTATCTCACCCACGACGGGAACGTACTGGGGGAAGACATAGAACAGTACCACAATGATACTCCAGAGTAAACCGGCAATATTAACGGTGTAGCCCCATTTACCAAGATCGAAGTGCGGCCGCGGTGGCAGGTGTTGACGACCTCTCAAGACCACACAAAGGATCGGGACGCAGTAAGAGACCTGCAAGGCGACACCACCTCCCGAGATGATTGCGTAAAATGCCAGCGAACTGCCAAGCACCAGGAGGCCTGTAAGGAGATTCAACACAATAAAGGCCAACATGGCTCGGAGAGGCATCTGAAATCGCTTGTTGACTTGAGCGAAATAGTCCGAGTAGGGGAAAGCTCGGTCCCGAGCCATTGACCATGCGAGACGCGAACCAGCGGTGTTCATGTTGACAATGATCAGATACTGTTCGCAATCAGCTGTTTGTTTCTGGATTACCAATCTTCAACGGGGCCACGTACATTCAGGCCCATCATCATGACAGCTACCCATATCCCTCCACCATATGTCGAGTTCAGCACATCCATGAACCATGCCTAGAGGATCGTTAGCCAATGGATTGAATTGTCTGCGTGGTGTTGAGCCATACCACATAGGAGGAGGTGGCTTCGAGATAGTTTTCCCAGTTGGGGCCTACTGTGTAACACATAACAATAGCTGACAGCCACGCTGTTACGCCAGCCCATACCATAGACCACACCATGACTCGCTGTTCCGCGGTCAGTAAACACTGAGTCGACAGGGCTGAATCGACCACTTACAGGAGCATCGCGCGAAGCATTCTTCATCTCCTCGACCAAATGCATGACGCCATCGCTTCCGTAGAGACCATAGATGGGAACGTACATGCTCAGGATGAAGACCCAGCCCTTGGACGTCCATCCTGATGTGTTGAGAAATTCGGTGAAGACAAACTTGGAGCTGTTCTTATCGGCCAGTACCAGGAAAACGATTGCCCAGATCAGCGCGTTTGAAATGTTGAAGAATGCACCAAAGAGTTGCAAGGCCGGAAGGTATTTGGGAAGCAGATTCGATAGCGCTGGGGCAACCAGAAAGCCGGTGTAAATAAGCCAAGTCATGTAGGGCTTTGGATGAGTTAGCAGGAGAAAGAGTGACTGACCAGGTTAGTGATTCTTACCTTCCACTCGATATTTGGATGTATGATCTCGACGAGAGCCGCCACAATTTCTGCACTGTTCAAGGCACAGGAGCTGGAGGTCGAGATTTCACCCACCAGAACGCACCAGCCGACCAGATAAGACAGGAAGCGTCGTGACTTCTCGGGGGCAACAACCTGGAGGATTTAGCGCTTGGTCGCTTTGGCCGGTCGCAATAAAGCGTACCTGGGTATAGAATTGTTGACCACCTGCGGTAGGCCAGATGGAGCAGTATTCAGCCAGTGAAGCCATGACTAGCAGTTGCCCGATTGTGACCACAACGCTGGATTTCGCATATCGTTAGAGGCGTGCCTCGGCGCACAAGCCCTTGAGACGTGGACTCACGTTCCCCAGACAAGACAAACCGGTCCGCCAAGGGTAAATATGTAGTAAAACATGACAATGTTGCAACTCCATGAGCATAAAATGGTGGTTTGATATGCCATCACTATGCAGGCATTTATTAGCCTCGATGATCCTAGGCTCATGCTTTTTCACGAGACTCACAGCTCCAGAAATTGTATGTCCGCTTCAGCTCTGGCTTGTGGCCGAGGCTGAGAAGTCTACTCTCATCGCTGCTCAGGCCGACCGAATCGTCTTTGATCGTGTCCATCCCGACGAAACCACGACGGTTCAGGGTCCGAAAGCGGACAACTGGGCGCAGGAAGAACGCGGAATTGTGCGATTTAACTCATGGAATAGAGCAAAATGTGTCGTGCTTTGCCGGAGCGTTGATTGAGGCGGCTTCAAGATCAGGGTTGAATTTGAGTGACGCAGGATGTCGACTGGTTGAAGTTTAAAGTACTGGGTACCACGTATTTACACGTGGGAACTCGGCTTTCCTTTCTCACTCCACCCCTTTCTCCTTTTTGCCACTCGGGAGAGGCTAGCTGTATGCACTTATCAAAACTGGCTATCTCTCTGCCGAGCACCTGGTGGTGTAGGGGTCCCAAAGATAAGAGGGGTGGAACGGGTTGCAATGAACGTGATAACACATGGAGGACTCTCTGATGGATCTTGGGGAGATGACAGATTCTGCTCGGTGCAGATGGAAGGGGGCCCGCGTTGTGCCCAAAGAGGTTGGCTCGCAGCGGCCAGGACCTTCGGCCCCATTAACGAGGAGCTGGGCAAATCATAACCAACATCCGTGTTCAGGGAGGATCGTTAAACGAAGCGTGCTAGGACGGGAGCAACCGGCTTTTCTCTTGTCAATGTCCCATTCCAGCCTTAGTCATGGCTTCCCTCCGCTTTCCGCGCGCTCCTAGCTGCAAAGACGATAAGTGTCAGTTGAGTTACAAGGAATGGGGTCACACATAGAACATGAAAAGAAGTTTCTGGGAAGATGATGAGACGGAAGGACGGGATCTATAGCCACCTTTCCCCAGATCTCGGTGGGTAATCCTTCTCCCAATGGTGCCAACATGACTTTTCGATCCAAAATCCATGGGGGGGATTAGTTAGAGCCGCTGGGCGTCTGGATGCCAAGGATAACCCGAGTTGAAATAACTGTGTATTCGAAACCAAACAAGAAATGGAATCTCGTGACGGGCGAGATGTGTTGCCCCAAGGCACTTTTGATGGAATTGGCTAGATGGCAGATGGCAGCAGTGGTGGTGGCAGTGCAGCGCAGCGCAGTTGTGCGGGGTGTGGAAGTACATAACAATACAGGGTTATGGAGGCTAGATTCACGGGAGTCTCGTCACGTGCTCACAGCCCCAAAGCAAAGTCCAGCCGCAACCGATAAGCTCTTTCCACACCCTCGAGTTCAATCCCTTCATTCAGTCTGGATTGTTCTTTGCCGAAAGCATATTGCGACCGGTGACACAATGAGGCCTACTGCTGATTCCATCCATCTGTCTGATCGATCAACATGAGCAGCGACACTGGTTGCAAGCCTCGATAACTGCCGAAACCTCGCCATGAATACCCTTCAGAGTGAACAGGCGGGGGCTGCAACTCAGGCTTCAGCTTCGAGCCCGCCCACCACCGGGCCACAAGGTGCATATTGGCAACCTCCTCTGTCCCCCTGTCGGAGGAGAAGGTGGAATTTGCCAATCAGGAGGCTGACTCTTGCAAAGATTGTCCAACCTGTGTCAGAAGACGAATCCGCTGCGATAGATCGCTCCCAAAATGCATCAAATGCTCGAAGAAAGGTCTAGTTTGCCCCGGGTACGGCCCTCGATTGAGATGGGCCAATGGTATAGCCGTTCGTGGGCACCTCAAAGGTCGAACCACGCCACACATTGACAAACCGCCGCCTAAACCCAGCAGCACCGCTTCCAAGGACTCGACCTCGCCCAGGTCTGCCACGTCCCTTGAACAGAGCAGTGCTGCTCAGCCCGCCTCGATCGTCATGTTCCCCGGATTTCCAGATCCGGACACGAAATCCCGGCTACTGGAACATTATGACAAACAGATTGCAGGCTTGATGGTGTGGATAGACTCCGAGAGAAATGAATACCGCCGTCTTGTCCTTCCCCTAGCCGAACAGCAGCCCGTGCTTCTCCTCGCCATTCTGGCCATCTCTGCCCAGCACCTCGCGGTCACCACAGGGAAAGAAATGAGTTTCCCTGCCCGTGCCCGTGACGCAGCCGTCACCATGATTTCGAAACAGATTCGGGACGTGACCGGCCAGTTGGCTGCAGGCTTCGACCTGGACAGTCAGATAGACCCAGATACTGCAGTGTGGATGCTGGCCTCAATGCTCACCCTAGCTAACTATGAAATGACAGAGACAGAGACCGGCGCCGCGGCGGCCGACTCGCACAGGCAGGCTGCAAGGACGCTGGTTAATGCCCTCGCAACAACAAACCGGGAGAACAACGCTCTGTTCCACTTTCTCCGAAACCAGCTTTCCATATACGACATCTTGGCCTGCACCACCATTTTCGGACCCTTGAGCACTGTAGAGGTGATACTTCCAGCCCCCGATCATTCCAATCTGATCTTTTCCGAATTCCTATCTCTCTTGCACAAGGTGACAGTTTGGTCACGAGAGCGGCATGAGAAGGAGTCATCAGGAATATTCAACCTGGCCGATCTACCAATAACCTCTGCTGATGCACGTGCCGGATTCGAGCAGGCTCGAGGGTCTACTCTGATGGCAGCCGGTCTCCTTGAATTACCGCGAGATGCACGCCGTCGGGACTTTGTCCGGATCGTCGACATATACCACCATGCTGCGCTCCTCTACACTTACAGAGTCCTCTTCCATTGCCAGGTTGAACCGATCGAGGTCGAAGCATCCGCCATGGTCTTGTTTGAGAGGTTGAATCAGCTCGAAGACAAACCGTCATGCCTGCAAAACTTGCCATGGCCGGTATTTGTTGCGGGCACCGAATGCTGCGAGGATCCGGAACGGCAGGCATTTATAGCAAGAATGTACACAGACATCGCTCAAGATATGGGGTTCAAGTACTACCTCGGAATTCTCCGCTTCTTGCAAGACCTGTGGTCGACCAAGGGTACCCCTTGGACCGAATTGGCGCGCCGTTACGAGGCCAGCGGAAAGAAAATCGTTGCTGTTTGAGGAGGATGTTATGACTTACCGGTGCTGCAGACGACTCGGCATTGGTGGCCTCGATTCCCTTTCGTCATGTTCTTCCGGCTACTCATCATGCAGCGTGGGACTGAATCTTTTGCCCGGTTTGCGATGCTCGACCCTGGCAGGATGGTGTGGGAAGATGACAGGCGAAGAAGCGCCGTTGGGGTTGATCGAAGGGCTGAGGACGCTTGAAAACGGTGTCTCCTGGTCAATTGCTCTGAAAGTCTGGCGGGATGCCTCCCTCAAAGCTATATCCCCGACATGAACACGTATATGTATGGTGACTGAATACGCAACTTCTCTTATTCTGGTTAGTGAGTTGACTCCGTCTGCCTACTCTCCAGGACTGACCAAGTTGGCAGCAAACTCGAGAACCATACTTTAGGGTCACGGCAAGCCGGACCAAATCCGGATTAAAGGCTCCATGTGGCTTTTTCATCTGCCGACACTGAAGCAATCTCAGTCGTGCGTAGAGGCCAATCTTGCTCCAGGGTTTTCTCTCCAGCGCCCTAATTCGGAGTGCAGTGATTGGTCTCTTTGATAACGTACAGGCCTCCCGACAACTCCCAGATTTCGTCTTCAAATCAAGGAATCACTCCATTCGTCTGCACCGATCATATCCGCCCCCGAGTTGACTCTGTATTGGAGGTGATAGACTTTGGTTCCAACTCCAGAGTCCGTTCAGCAATGCGAATGATTCCGAATGTCAGACTTACGGCTCCTCCTCGCTCGCACGCAGGAGGTTACTCGATTTGTCAGCCCTGAACCTGGTCTGCACTGGGCCTGCAACATGGAGCTTCACCTTGGTTCCAGGGTATTTCCCAATCTGCAAATATGAGTGGCGCCACTAAGTTTTCCAGTAACAAGCACTACACAATGCATAGAATGCGACAGAGGAGCAAGGTTTAGACCGCTGTCTCCCAATATGCTTTGGTCCATGTTACCTCGCATCGTGTGCGGAACACCCTCTGCTTAGGCTGGTGTTGTCCTGTAAGCTTGCGGCAAGGTACGTCGCAGCGTCCACTGGTGCAGCTTTTACCTTTTTCAAAAGCACTTCGGAGTCAGTGTTATACCGGGCCCTGTAGGGCGCATCCTTCAGATATCTGGACTCCCTTCGTCTGATATCCAAGGATCATAAAAGGCTGTTGGGATGTGTAAGAGGTGGCAATCACACTGTAAGGCACCGTGAAGTTCTTATAATGTTGGGGAGATCATTTTCTGCGGTTCCTATCAACGCCTATTTTCATAACATAATTTATATATCCATTTCAATGTCGACTGATCGACCCAATCATAAGCGAAGGCGAGGATGCGACACTAGACCCCAAAAAGACGTTCGGTAGAGAAATAACGTCAACCAAGGCCCAACACGAAGGTGGATTACCTGCGGTGCAAGTTTGCTGCGACGCTCGCCACCTGCTGGATCGGGCATCTGATGAGAGAGCTCGAGGCTCGGAGAGTCAGAACTCTCAAACAGGCTGTTGGTTGAAGCCAGGTGTTTTTTGCTACAATTCCCCAGTATGGTATGGTTCTTGAACGCGCCCAAAATTCGGCCTCATTCAATCGTTATCAATTCTCCACAGTTCAAAATAGCGAAGCCGAGCCCGACACTCTGTCAACGCGACAGCTCAGAGAAGGTGGGACGCACAGAGGCGAAAAGGGCACATTCGTTGAAAAGTTGCCATAATCCCTCGAAACCCACAGAGTGATGAGAGGACGGCCACTTTCCTGAACACGATTCCTTCATTTGACGTTTATCAGAAACACCAAGAAGTCCGTACCCCGCCTTCGAATATAAGCTCAACGCCGAACTCTCGCTGTGATCTCACATTTACTCTGGTGCTTCTAGCGGCCGTCCCTGTCTTCAGGAACCGAATCTCCTCCAAAGATGGTGCTGAATAGGATTCTGTATCAGCCTCCTGTTATGCATCCTCGAAGACGGCAGGATGTCACTCACAAGAATGTCCATCAACTCTTCCAGGCTCGGAATTTCCAAGACAGTGTTGCCGCACGCCTCGCCGACTCGGTCAAGATTCCAACGGTAACATATGATGGTATGGGTCATGTCGGGGAGGATCCTCGGTGGGAGGTTTTCTTTCAATTCTCGAATTATCTGAAGAAGGCGTTTCCAAGAGTGTGAGCATGTCGTTCAGCTCACACGACTCTTGTCCTAACTATTTGCAACAGATACGAACAACTGACGGTCGAAACGGTCAATCAGCATGGCTTGTTGTACACATGGCGCGGGTCACAGGAAGCTATGAAACCCCTCTTGTTCATGGCACATTCAGATGTAGGTGTAACATGTTACCTTGCTTGAGAATAACGTCTTTGACATTATTCAGGTCGTCCCCGCTGGCGAGTCGACTTCCGAAGAATGGACTTATTCTCCTTTCTCAGGCCATTACGATGGGGAGTATATCTGGGGTCGAGGTTCCGAAGACGACAAGTCGAACCTCATAGCAATGTTGACAGCTATCGATTGTTTACTTGCATGCGACTTCATACCACATCGAACTGTGATCCTCTCGGTCGGCTTCGACGAGGAGGGTGGAGCCGAACAGAGTTACGGCGCCAGGTGTCTTGCGGAAATTCTATTGGACAGATATGGGAAGGACGGTATCGAAATGATTGTGCGTTGGCTCGCCGACTGTGCTGGACAATCGCTAATATCAACTCGCAGTTCGATGAGGGTATTGCAGGCATTGAGAATCGTTTTGGGACCGACTTCGCACTTCCTGCAACTGCCGAAAAGGGATATATCGATGTCACTGTGACTGTCAATGTTCCTGGGGGTCATTCTTCCACTCCACCTGACCACACAGCTAGTTTGTCCTCCCCATCCTACTTTGCTGGCTGAAACGTTCTGACGCAGAGATAGTCGGCTTTTTGGCTCAAATAATTCGACTGATCGAAGACCACCCATTCAAATCACAGCTGGTTCGAAACAATCCGACCCTGACTTACCTTCGACAAGCAGCGTTGTATTCCAAGAAAATGCCGGAAGATCTGCGAGAGGCGATTCTCGGCGCACAGAACTCGAAGAAGCTCCTCGAATATATGGAAAGCGACCGCGAGAGACGTGCCATGATCAGAACATCCACGGCTGTTGATGTGATCCAAGGCGGAGACAAGGGTAAGCGGGCCACGCTTGCTGATCTTCGACGCTGTCGGAACAGACAGGATCGTAGTCGAGGCGGAGCTAATTGGTCCTCTAGTGAATTCGCTCCCAGAAAATGCCAGTGTCCTCGTCAACCATCGCATCGCAATACAGGACTCTGTCCAGGCTGTCAAAGACCACTATGTTCATCTCCTTGCGCCTTGGGCCCGCGAACAAGGTTTCACACTCCAGGCATTCGGTGCTAAGGCTCAACAAGAAAACAGCACCTCGATGCGACCAGGTAACAACACTGCCGATTGTGGTGACCTCACTCTTTCCGCACATTATGAGCTGGAATCATCACCGGTTTCAAGCGCAGAGGATGCCCGATTCAGATTACTCGCTGGTACCATCAAAGGTGTCTTTGGAAATGATGTTGTTGTAGCCCCAGAGTTGTTAACTGGTAAGTCGAAGTTGACGGGTGGGTTTAGGCTTTCCTCTATAGATGCTGAGAAAGCCAGGCAACACCGACACCAGATACTATTGGGACCTTTCGCCGCAAATATATCGCATGTCTCCATGGCGAGCCAGTCATGACCCTCGAGGGACCCGGATGCACACGGTGGACGAGAGAATGCCGATTAAAGGTCTTATGGAGATGGTGCACTTTTACCACGAATTCATCCGAATAGTGGACGAGGTGCACATGGACGATACCCAATCGATTCACAATCAGACTCGACACGAGAGCGCCATTTCACCTGTTCCTTCACAGCAGGTATGCGTCACATGAACAACTGGACTGTGGTGCATCTACTTGGTACTTTGTATGCCAGGAAGCGCGGCAAAATGTTGTAATTGCCCAAGTGTGAAAGTCCCCCCGGCTGAAGCACACCAGCACACAACAGACTTTTATCAAGCCGAGTTGACAGACTGTGTGGATATGGCGTCGACATGCTTGCAAAGGCATGTCAAGGAGAGTTGGGCTAAGACGACCCAAAAATTTAACGCCCGAGTCCCCCCAGAACCAAGGCATCTGGGGGCTCGTAGGCACTAATCCGTCGGAAGGGTTTGAAGCGAAGACGGAGATTCTCCGGCCAAGCAGTTGGCGAAATTACTGGAGAGAATTGTCCAAAACACAGGCAACTCCAAAACACACACATCAACGAAAACAGCGATGGAGGGCTATCTTGGGGCTATCTACACGTCAAGAGCGCTACTATACTCGCCGCGGCGTGCGTCCTGTGGCCCTTTACACCGTCTCATGACGTTCTCGGGTGTGTATCAAGTCGAGGAGTCAAGTTTAGGATGGGGCAACTGCTGATGGTGCTGAGATTAACAGGTTCCAATCTGGTGAATCTGATACACTGGCCACAGTCACAGACCCGCTTCTGCTCACCTCGTCTACATAGCTATCTTTCCAAGCATCTCTTGGCTCTCACTGCCCGCCTTAGCCTTATTCCCGCCCCTTTCCTATGTATTAACTTTTGCTCGTATACTCTAACTTATTTGGCCTACGTGCTCCCACAACTATGATGCCCAAGCTGTCTTCTTTGCGGTATACCCCCCTTGACAGTCAAGGGTCTTTGCTTCGATTCTCAGCGAACCGACTGTTGTGCGCGCCGTGGTATGCCACAGTCAGACTGGGGCTGGCCATGATGGAAATACATACCCCCATTTGTACCGATGGGGAAAAAGTAGATTAGAAGCCGCCATCTCACAGCGAACGCAGGGCGATTTCCCTCCAGACTTCATTCTTTTTGCTGTCCAGCTTCCTCCCTTCGTTTTATTTTCAGCTTCGATATAGGGACTTCCCGTGCATTCTTTTCGGGCTACGAAGTACACAGACCAAGCCACCCACAGACTTTTGTTCCTCTCTCGACACTCCTTTCTTTTTTTGTGGCGGACGCGAGTCCGAGGCATCTCAATCGTTCAAACTTCTGAATTCCAGCTTGGAGCGAGGAAACTTCCCACCCGGGACAATGGACTTTCAAACATCCAGACGAGGCCTGGTGCCCGCATTCCTTCTTTCTATGCTTACTGTTACCTCCTGCGCGTCGACAAACAACGCACTAAGCACCACCTTGAAGCGAGACGCAAAAAAGGCTACCCAGCCGCTGAGCTCGGAGCGTGTAAGCGATTTCGAAGAAAGGCAGAATGCATTGATCTCGCTGATATAAAGTATAGGACTTTTGGTTCGCCAATGTGACGGTCGGAGACGGATCCAGCATGAATCTACTCGTCGACACGGGCTCAACGAACGTAGTACTCAACATGGGACTATACAAACCATCCAAGGACTCTGTGGACACGAAGGAGCCTTTTGCCATCGCTTATGGGACCGCCCAGAGCAACGGGACCGGGTCAGCATTTGTAAGGGCGGCCATCCCTCCCCAATCCCACCCACCGCCACCTAGTGACAGGGCAAGCTCATGGCTGATGTTCGCATACGTAGATCAACGGCACGCTCTACCGAGACACAGTGACCCTTGCCGGTCTCACGGTCGAAAACCAAACCCTCGGCGTTGCCAACGAGTCCCAGTCGTCGACGAACTACCCCCACGACGGCATCATCGGGTTCGGCGCCCAGCGCTTCGCCGCCAACAATGCCACCTCTTGGTTCCACAACCTATGCGCTAACGGCCTCGTGGATGAGTGCCGGTTCGGGCTCGCGCTGAACGACGCCAATTCTGGGTCGTTGGTCGTTGGCACCCTGGACAGCGGTCTATTTGATGGCGACTTGACCAAGACGCCGATCGCCGAGGAATGGTTCACGTACGGCGATGTTGTCGTAGGAGGGCAGACACTGGAGAAGAATGCGATTGTTGAATTCGACAGCGGCAGCACCACGATCGTGGGGTAGGTTCTTACTTTATCACGGCCATCTTTCCTTCCTTCCTTTCCATCCCTCCCTCCCTCTCCAAGCCCGATAACACGTTCCCTACTGACTTTGCAATGCTCCTTCCTAGCCCAACCGACGCCATGGCCAAGATCTTCGACTCCCTCGGCGCCGTCGTTTCCTTGTACGGGACGTTTGACGAGCCTCTGTTGACAGCACAAGTATCCTGCTCGACAAACGTCACGGTGGGTTTCCGCTTCCCGTCCAGCAACGTGACTGCCGCGGAGCAGAGCGTCAAAGCGCAGACCTTTGACGTCCCGATCGCAAGTCTGCTGGTTCCTTCGACAGACGCGTCAAATCCGAACTGCACTGTCGCGCTGGTGGGGCAAGACTTTGCGGACTTGCCGGGCCTGTGGGTGCTGGGCCAGTGTACGTATCGCTTGCCCATCCATCTCTCTCTCTCTCTCTCTCTCTCTCTCTCTCTCTCTCTTTCGCGTTGTGTGTGTTAGTGTGGTCGTTAAAATGCTAACTCGCTCTTTTTTTCTCGTCTGCTTTTCTCTAGCGTTCTTCCAGGGCAAATACATCGATCATAATCTCGACGACGGGACGATCGGACTGGCCACCCTGAAAGCGTCCGCATCCAATTCGTCATCCGGTTCTTCTGGATCTGACTCGGGCAATGGCAATGGCAATGGTAGTTCCAATGGCAGTTCTGGTGACCGTGGCAGCGGCAGTGGAAGTTCTTCCTCAACCAACTCGGCGGCTAGTCTTCGCGGTACTGTTTCTTTGGCGTGTGGTCTCCTGGTCTTGTACTTTAGCTTTGGATCTGCCATGTTGTAACGAAGAAAAAGGAAAAAGGGACTTGACCGGATACATGCTTTTATTGGACAAGTAGACGGTATTACGTTTTCCCCTTCTGCTCCGGGTCGATGAGGGCAAATTGGAAAGAGAAAAGGGGGGGGGATGGTTTGTGGCTGGGTTCGTCTTCTTGCCTCCTTCGCGGCCAAGCGTTGTAGTGGACCTTTATCCCGAAATGCGAATACCCGTAGCCGTCGTAAGGGATGGTTCAGGTGGTTAGTTAGTCAGTCGGTCAGTCAGTTATTCAGTGTACTTACAGTACATGATTCGGTACTCAGGGCCCACATTCGAGGAGGTGAAGGAGGGCGGGAGGGTCTATCGATGCTTGTCGTATTCGTACCATCCACCATACCCCGTACCCACAAGGCCGGGGTTGGAAAGGGGGGGAGGCGCGGAATCTCGGGAATGCAGAGATCTCGACATGCAAAGACGAGGGTGGGCGAGGTGATGAGATGATGAGGTGATGATGTGATGATGTGATGAGCTGACCTGGCTCGGTGGGTTGGGTTCTGCAACAATTCTATCCTACCCAGATAGGTACGGAGTCCATGGCGAGCCTAACGACTCGGATCTACTTACCTACAAGTAGGCGCGTGCTACGTAGTAAGAACGAGATACACTTACAAGTAGGTACAGTAGTCACATACTCCGTACTCCGGACATACAGTACTTAGCTAACCCGCGCAGGGGCCTCCCAGTGGAGCCATAATATGCAAAGCCTGCCCTTTATGGGGCCTCACTAGGCCTACTAGCCCTTCTGGGCGTCTCGTGGGCCCCCTCCATCGCCCATCACTCACCAATTGCGGGCTGCGGGCAGCCTACTAGCCGGGGCTTCTGGGGGGGGGCGCAGGCGCGTGTGTTCTCAGCGTCGTATTCTAGAGAAAGCTGGACCGTGTTTCGCCAGGATGCAACAACATTTGCATGTAGGAAGTGAAAAGAGTTAATGGTCGGTCGGCCGGCCGATTGTTCCATCCATTCCGTCCATTCTCCTGCTTCTTGATTGGAAAAGCTTGTCGTTGCTTATACATATCAAAGCACGCGCCTCTTTTTGCCCGCGATCTTGTTCACGATTTCGTTTTCTTTTTATTCGATTCATTTCTGGAGGCCAGAGGATGCTCTGCTACATTGTTATTAGCCATCATCATTATCCGGACTGAACCTGCTTTGTGAGCGCTCCTTCATCAAACCTTGTTCAAAGAAAGATCCTACTACTACCGGCTACAAATCAAGCTTTCTTCCATCTTCACCTCCCGGAAACCAAACCCAACCCAACCAGAATTAAAAAGTGAAAGATCAAAATAAAAAAAGAAAGAAAGAGAGAATGGTCAACAACGCCGTCGTCGTGCCCGTAGCGGTCCTGGCCGCCCTGTCAGTGGCCATGTTCGTCTTCATCTGCTGGTGGTTCCCGCGGCACTACAAGAAGGGCGTGGAGCAGGACATGAACATCATGGACAACGAGCGGGCCGAGCGGAACGAGATCCACGTCGACATGGGCCACCAGGCACAGCTCATCGGCGAAGACGGCGCGCCGCGCAAGAAGACCCTTGAAGAACACATCGCCATCGCGAGGGAACAGATCCGGAGGGGCGGTCATAACCCGTCGACGACGCCGCCGTATTGAAATTTGCATGCGCTGAGGGGAGGGAGAGGGCTTATAATTGAATGGATGGACGGACGCAACGAGGCTCAAAAGGGCCAAAGCACATCAAATCCAGCTGCTGTCCCTCCAACTCGGCGGAAACGTGATGACAGTTGTCATGTCCAAAGCCAGGGAAAAGAAAAGGCGTTCTAAAGAGTTGTACCACAGGCTTGTGTTAGACAAATGCTCTTACTGTTTGTTCTTTGTTTGTTCGTTGGCCACGCTGTGTTGAAAGGACCCAGACGACGCCCATCCTGCAGTTGGAAAACCTCCACGATCCAAGTGCATTCAATTCAATTCTTCGTGGGCAGGCATATTCCGAAGTGCTGCATTGAGCCTTCCGCTTCACGCCCTCCCGTTTCCTTGAAAGAGACCATATGGAGAGAGGGATCTGCCGTTCTGTCTCTGCATGCGGCCATAAGAGCACCAAGTCTTAACCTCACCAAAGTCCATTTGCGCTTCCAGACCTAAGCGTCACCATTTGACGTGAGCCGTGCCTAAGCCAGTGGATATGTCTGGACAGAAAAGCTGTTTAGTATACGTCGACTCTCGTTCTTTTGGCAAGAACTTCGTTGACACGATCGACCTTGGAGCTAAAAAAAAAAAAAAAACCCTCCCGAAACCGATACGAAAACGTCCCAATTCTAGACCATTGCGAACCGTCGACCGGGTCTGGCACAATTATCAACTCTGTCAAACTGTGTTGTCGAACATCACCAGAGAGCACCTTCTGTCTCAGAAAGCCAGGGACATTCCCTGAAGCAGACTCATGGTTTCTTGTTTGTGTCAATGGTAAAGCCCACGCCTCAGGTGTCTGTGCAGCATTCATACTGAAGTCGAATTGGTCATTAAGAAGCCCAAGCCAATCCAATTCTGGCTCTGTATGGGTCTTGATGTCCTTGGAGAGCTCCGGGTTCGACAACTTGGGTCCAAGTGGCCCATCGGCAATCTCACATCTGAACATCGGCGCGTCAATAGTCAGATGCAGCTCATTTCCAGGAGCCGCTGATCTCAGCTTTGAAGCCACCGATAATATCTTCGCTGTAAACTCCATTTGGTCAGGATCATGAGGACCAAATACGACACCGCTATCCACTGAGAGCCACGACCAAGTCGGCTGTCCGTTTTCTAATCTCATTGACTTTGACTGCGTTCTGTATTCGTCTGATCGCGTCGAGTGCCCAGCGGATGTCCATAGCAGGTCCACCAGGAGATACTCTCGCCAGATACCAGCTAAGATCTGCACATTCATGGCAGACTCAATGATTTTGACCATGCCGGCCAAAGCTGGCCATCGGTCGGACACCTTGGTCAATCGGCTGTGAGAGTAGATCTCCACCAGGCGCAGCCATCTCCTATGACATTCATCTAAATTGTCAGTTCCCGCGTTATGCTCGCCAGGGTCGCCTCGTGTGGTATGATTTGCATTTGGCAAAATGGCAGCAAAGATAGTCTTGGATCTTCTTCCGATCATATAGCTCATGCTCATTTTCAACTTACTCCACTCATGAACGCCCCGTCCAGCATGCGCATCTGCATCGGAAAGGATTGATTCACAGCACTCCCAGTAGATGCCCAATCTGCTAAAATAGAGCGTCCTTGGAGACAACACACGCTCTTGTACAACCCAAGCTCTCCGATATAGACTCGGTATTTGACTGTCATCATGAGATGCTCCATGCTCAAAAATCATCGTCCCATGCGTTGGTGATCCATTCCGAGTATACATCGCCATGTCTTCGCAAGCCAAAACAAAGTCGTGCCCGCGCTTTGTTCGAAGTCGGCAGGGGGCTCGAGAGAGCGGTATTCGCGCTGCAAAACCGCCGTCGGCACTGTTGACCGCGCTCAAGGCGGCGATAGTACAGATGCTTCCACCGTAAATGTACCCCATGTTCGGGATTTCTGCTTCGACGTCCGCCGAATCATCTTGAATGATTCACAGTGCGTCGATCCATAGCCTGCTGTACCCGAGACGTCGTGTGATCCGTACCGCGTCTTGAAAAGTTCGAGACAACGAACCGAAGGGAACGTCTTTCATGAAAGTATGGTAGTTGGCCGCTTCAAGTTTAAAGATGGGCTTTGTTCCCCAGCAGTGTGACAGTGTCAGGTAAGGTTCCGGAGAGCCAGCGACAGGCGCTACCTCCACAATATGAAGGCTTGGTGCCTGTGGACTGCCAGAAAGGGCAAGCAATCGTTTTGGGCGTCCATCTCCGATTGAGCTGGAGCACAACGAATGTCGCGCGATGCAGGTCGCCAACCACGATCTCGCAAGCTCTAAAGTGGCTTCGGAGGCTGTCGATGACGTTCTCTAACATTTGTTTTGTATTTTGTGCCAGGAGCAGCTCTCGTCGCAGAGTTGCTGAGAAGCGATGTGCCCAAGTGAGCAAGAGTTCCTCACGGAACTGAGAGTCGTTAAGCTTCCTCTCCACCTGGGTAGGTTGGACTCCAACCCCAGTCGAAACCAGAAGCAAGGCTTTGCGCTGCCGGTATATGTTTCCGAGCCTATGTCTGGGCGGATCGGCACAATTTTCAAGGTAAGTTGTCCTTGAGGCAAGCAGCGTGGAGGCTCGAAAACTTCAGAGCAACATGATTCATATAGGAGAGAGCAAAGATGGCAGCCATTAAGGACAGATTTAATAGGCTCGCCTAGGTCGGAGTGGTAATCCCATCGCTCACGCTTAAGCTCTGTTGTCATATTTTTCTCGATGATCAGAACAAGCGCATCACTTCGCTCCATGATACTCCGGCACACCAAACAGAAATCATTTGCCGATGGTTCGTAATCAGGGTCTTGCAGATGTTCTTGATGAGTCGAGGCATTGGAGAGCCTAAGAATTGACATTTTCGAGTTCAGTTTATCGGCTTTAGAGACCTTGTACAGGCCTCTTCCGGGTTATTGATAGAAAGATTGTCGCGTGAACAGTGGGACGATCGTTGAAACCATCCAGCTGATTGTTTTGACCACAAATTAGGATGTGTCGTGGGTCATGGATTAGCCAAAATCCCCAGTTTCTAAGTGTACTACCACGCCATATAAATCAGTGGTCTGCTTTCTATGAAATGAACGATGCGGCTGCCAGCTCACCTTTATGGCTACTCCTGGTGGAGCGCTAACAGGCAACCAGAGGTACGAAGGTGAGGCTGAGCCGAAGTTAAGCGCCGAGTACCAGCTCTCTCGACAAGATGTTTACCAATTACCGCTCCCAGAATTAGCCGTCGAGGCAACGTCAGGTGCGATGTAGAAAAAAACAGTGGCTGATGTCGAGTTCGTAGTCACCCTCACTCCATTGCACCGGCTTAGCAGCAGGTGCCAAAGGGCCACGGTCTGGGAGTATGTCCGTATGAAATATATTAATACAAGTGTGCATCGCTTGTCGTCAGCGTTCCTTGATATGGGAAGGGTGCAGCGCCAGTCACAGGGCTCGACCATGTAGAGAACACTCTCGATCAGCACACTTACCCAACTCGGCTACTTGGAGATCCACATTCGGCTGACTTTGACACCATGACACGGACTTTAAATGAGACGGCGAGAAGGCTTTGCATTGTCGAGATGAGAACACGGGCGGGTGGCGATCTTGCGTCAGGAGTGTCAGGAATACACTGAAGCGGCTCTCAAAAAGGCTCCGCCGCATATCAGGCAGTTGGTGGAACAAAGTCATAATGGCATCCGAGTGCAGATAAGGCAGACGAGTACTGTAACAGTAACCGGAGCATGCTGTGCCAAGTGGGATACGAAAAGAAGCGCATACAGACATATTTGACCGTCGTAAGTGCATCACATTAAATTAATGGTTCGGTTTCTATAATGGCCGATGTAATGTGTGTCGATAGATGTAATACCAATCTCGATTCCATACTTGTGGTGTTTGCATCATTTGTCACATTTGTTAGCCCCTGCATTAGCTTACCTAAAGCAGACTTATCTTGGCAGGTCGCCTCCACGTGCTCCTATTTGCTTGGCGCCATCGGTGCAAAAAGCGGCGACATCAGGACTCCGTTTCGAGCCTGGCGTGGTCTGATATGGTCGCCATCGAAAAAGTTGCAGGTTGCCCGAGCCGCGAAGCGAGGCTTTGCGCAGCTGCACTTTTCCTGCGCTGCGACAATTGAATCACTTCATCGTGTGTCTTGTCGACACTTCCGTGATCTGAACCATTGTCAAGCGAGTCTCAGCGCTTATTGATCCAATACCGCTTTGCACGTTTGGCTGTGTCTGTGACGATTTACACCAGACTCCGTCTTGTGTCGCGACCATGAACGGGGACAACTACTCCTCAAGAGGTGCCTTTAAACCCCCCCCTGCACTTTGTCTCAACACTTGCTGATCTCTTCAGACCCGGGGCGCTCTAGAGAGCATCATGTACGTCATCCTGACTCTTGATATCTTGCAACGGTGGCCACTGACATTGTTTCAGACCTCCAGATACGAACGAGATGAACGTAGAGACCGCGACCGGGACCGAAACCGAGATCGAGGCGAGCGAAGACGATCAAGATCTCCACATCACCGTTCATCGCGACGCGAGTACGAAGCGGACTCCTATTCCTCGAGTCGAGACTATCGGGCGCGCGAAAGAGAGGACAGACACGGATCGAGGCGAGACGATCGGGATTGGGACAGAGACAGGGGCCCAAGACGTCGTGACGACGACAGGCCGCCCAGGAGGGATCGCGACTTGTTCGATGACCGCCGAGGGGCCAACCGTGATCGTGATCGGAGCGGGCGAGAGGACCGCGATGAATTCGCTGCTCAAGCTCGAGGTCGGAAGAACAGCCCTCCTCCGAAAAAGAGGGAACCTACTCCTGATCTCACAGATGTCGTTCCGATATTGGAGCGAAAGAGGAGAATGACGCAGTGGGACATCAAACCACCCGGTTACGAAAATGTCACCGCAGAGCAGGCAAAGATGTCGGGCATGTTCCCTTTGCCAGGCGCCCCTCGACAACAGCAGATGGATCCAAGTCGGTTACAAGCCTTCATGAATCAACCATCGGGCGGCGCGAATGCTACCGCGCTAAGGCCGTCTAATGCGCGCCAGTCAAGGCGATTGTTCGTCCACAACCTTCCGGCATCCGTCACCGAGGAGAGCCTGGTGGGTTTCTTCAATCTACAGCTCAATGGTTTGAACGTCACCAAGAGCAGTGATCCATGTGCACAGGCAAACATTGCCGAAGATAGGAGCTTCGCACTGGTGGAATTTAAGCAGCCCTCTGATGCGACAGTGGCGTTGGCCATGGATGGAATCACAATGGAGGAGCATCATTCTGAGATGAACGGCAATGGGGCTGCACCTCCCAAGGGTTTGGAAATTCGACGACCCAGGGATTATATTGTTCCATCTGCAGATGAGGATGCATACACAGATGGCGAGATATCTACTGAGGTTCCCGACACAGCAAACAAACTAGCTATCACAAATCTGCCGCCCTTTTTGACAGACGACCAGGTCATTGAGTTGCTAAAAGCATTTGGAGAACTAAGAGCCTTTGTTCTGGTGCGGGACAGAGATGCAACGGAATCACGGGTAAGTCACATTGGTCCCGGCTCACGATACAACTCTCTAACTGCTCAATAGGGCATCGCTTTCTGTGAATATGCAGACCCATCCGTCGCTACCGTTGCAATTGAGGGTCTCAATGGCATGGATCTAGCGGGCAATGCTATTAAAGTCACCCGTGCGAGTATTGGATACACACAAGCTGCTGGGCTTGAGATGGGCGTTAACGCCATGTCTATGTTCGCCGGAACCACGGCTGAAAACTTGGAAGACGGGCGCGTCCTACAACTACTGAACATGGTGACACCGGAGGAACTTATCGATAATGATGATTATGAAGGTAAGGAGGGAAGGGAGGAACATGCTCTTTCCTACCCCTTCCGTTTCCCCCTTTCTGTTTGGGGTGTCAAATGCTAACCAAGCCCTTCCGGCGTGGCAGAAATCTGCGAAGATGTAATGGAAGAATGCCAAAAGTACGGCAAGATCCTAGGTATGAAGATTCCTCGCCCATCTATGGGCAGTCGGCAGTCCGCTGGCGTGGGCAAGATCTTCATCAAGTATGAGGAACCTGAATCTGCGAAGAAGGCGTTGCAAGCCCTTGCGGGACGCAAGTTTGCCGACAGGACCGTTGTGACGACTTATTTCGATGAGGTACGTTCCGTTATGTGTGCAATCCGTCCTCAGCACTTTCAGAGGGAGAAGACTCGAGCACTAACTAACTATGAATCTACAGGCTAGTTTCGATGTAAATGCCTGGTGACCCTCCCATTCCCGACTCAAAATGATCCCATCGCAAAAATACTCTTCAACCCATCCGTTTGCGATCTTCTTCCACGATTGGTAGAGGGTTAGGGCGCAGTGACTGCAATCCCAACAGCCCCTGGTCTCATCAGCGTTCAAGTAGTCGTTGGCACTACTGATGGATATGATGACCTAGCAACTGGTCCTGAGATACAGTCGCTGATAGCACCTTTGAAGGAACTTTCTTCAAGCGTCTCGCCCGTGTCGCCTACGAGCGCTGGAGAGTTGCCGCTGGGGGTGTAAATTGGCCTTGTGTTCAAACAGACACAGGTGACAGGACAGGACAGGACCCAGGAACCATATTTATTTTTCCCACTTCTCCTTTTGACGCTGCTTTGGCACCCTGGAATCTTGGGAAGAAAGGAAGGACACAAAAGCTGCTGTCTGCGTCGCAGGAACACAAAAACAGAACCTGGGTATTGATTGGATCGAGTGGGATCGGTCGGGTCTGATCTCTCGCTTTTCCCCCGAAAACTGTACTTTTAGATCCGAGACAAAAAAAAAACAGTCCTTCATGCTTGTTGTGCATACATGGATGGCCGCTGCGGTCCTGCTTGAACATGAACATGACAACGTGGACTGGATTGCGAGTCGCATGGCGTACCTCCTTGGGATTAGGTGCGAATCTACAATGCGGATGAGATATCATTCCGGAGCACAGCCACCGACCTGACCATCAAAGCGCGTTGTAATGCATTGGGAATCCTAATTCCTTGTATTTTGTTCTTTGAGTGAAGTGACAGTGTCTCAATCATGTTTATTTCATCCAGCTCGCGCACAATGAGTCGTAGCCATTTACTTGTGCCTGCCTCGCCCCGACCACCTCAAACCCAATCTGCCCGCCTGTAACAGCTGTTCAACTGTTGATGCAATCATTTCTAGCTGTCCTGTCATGCACTCCTTGTTTCATTCCGGTCCATCTTGATGTTCATGAGATGTCTCTTCTGATTTACGTGGCATTTTTCTTGCCTCTCGTGCTCCATGTCTGCCGGGTCTATTCCTGACCACACGCTGTACACAAAGGACGACAAATACCCCTGGATTTGACTCCTTGCACAAATTCATTCATTCAGTCATCATCGAAAATCAACTTGGTGATCTTTCCCACAGCGATTGTCTGGCCTTGGTCTCTGAGTGTAAACCGTCCTAGCTGCGGATAATCCTCGAATCTCTCGACACAAATCTTGCCTCCACCGCTTGTGACCTGCAACCTTGCAATGATGTTTTGTCCTTTTGCGGCAAATGGAGGCGGTTTCTTACTCTTGCGTCCTGTCTTCGGTTCGAGTTTGTGGAGCAACGCTGCAAAAGTTACTTCTTCGGTGGCGGCGTGGACGTGCAAGACGCAGTTAAAGCCTGCAGAAAGGATGGATTTCAATTCCACGATGTTGATCTGTGCTTCAAACTCCTTGACGCAGTGAACGAGGCGTTTGGGCGAGCAGAGCACGAAGCCAGGTTGAATGTCTTCTTCCTCGATTCCTCGCAAGCGGATGCGCACTTGTTCACCGCAGGTGGCGTAGGGGATTTCGTCTTCCGTCTCACCATAGAGGGCTGAAATGCCGACCTCCTCGCGGTTCGGCATCATGACGTAAGTGGAAGTCTTTTGAATCACGCCGGCTTCGATGCGGCCTTCGATCATGGTACCCATGTCTCTATATTTGGCGCCAATGGGCATCATGAAGGGAGCATTGATGTTGCGCTGGATCTTTGCCATGCCATCCAAGAATTCCAGGAGGGAGGGGCCATTGTACCACTTTGCGACGTTAGGGGGAATGCGGTCTTTGACATTGATTCCCGTTTGAGCGGAGATGGGCATGAAGGTAGAGTCTAAGCCAATCCTTTTTTTCAGGTATGGTTTCAGCTTGCCCACAATCTCGTCGTACCGTTCTTTGGACCATTCCACTGTGGGATCGTCCATTTTGTTCACCACGACGACCAACTCTTTGGCACCAGTGGTCTTGATCAGCATGGCATGCTCTTGGGTTTGTCCACCCTTTTCAAACCCGGTCTCGAATTCACCCTTTCGAGCAGATATAACCAGGATTGCAACGTCTGCTTGAGCTGCACCGCTCAGCATATTCGGCACATATGTTTTGTGGCCCGGCGCGTCAAGGATGGTGTATCTCCGTTTCTCAGTTTCGAAGAAGCCCCGGCCAACTTCAACTGTCTTTCCCTTGGCTCTTTCTTCTTTGTTCAAATCCAATACCCAAGAAATGTACCAGGTTTCTCGCCCAGCGTCTTTAGCGTCTCGTTTATGCTTTTCCAATGTACGGTCATCAACCATGCCTGTTTGAATAAGGACCTGGCCACCTAGTGTGGATTTTCCAGCGTCAACGTGGCCGATAAAAATGACGTTGACGTGTTCTTTCCCATACATCTCTTCCAGGACCGATGCATCCACATCGGCCGTTTGTGATTCCGCAACTTCATCCGCATTTCGTTGCTTTTTTGCATCCGCCGGTGTCGGAGAGGATTTTCCTGATGATGGGGCAGGTGATGTCTTTCCAGACACCTTTTCACCAGTCTTTTCAACGGCTTTCACCGCAGCGGCTTTGGCTCCGGCCTCCGCTTTAAGAGTTGTTGGCTCGTCCTTGGTGGTGGGAGAGGCTGGTTTCTTAGGGGAGGCAGATGCCGATGTTGGGACACCAATCGAAAGAACCTTCGCCTTTAGAGGTGCTGCGGTAGCTGGTTGTGGTTTGGATGCAGGGGCAACGGGAGTCGCTTCAGCCTTCGTTGCTGGTGGGGGGGGCTGTTGAGGTGTTGGGGCAGGCGCAGGGGCAGGCTGGGTGTCCGATCTCTTTGCAATGCTTATGGGGGCACCTTGTCTGGGTTGAAAGCCACCAGGTGTTTGATTGTAAGCGGCGAATTGGCCGCTGTTGTAGCCTTGATTGTAGCCTTGTTGCTGCTGATACTGAGGATATTGGTTATATTGCTGGCCGTATTGAGGGTATTGGTTGTAGCCTTGCTGTTGCCCATACCCGTAGTTCTGGTAGCCATTCTGTTGGTATGGCTGTCCCGGCTGGAAAGTGGCAGCACCAGGCTGAAAAGATGCGGCTCCAGGCCTGAAAGTGTTGGCATTTATGCTCATATTTTGTGTCTTCTTCGAAAGGTCTTCCTCTTGCGCCGCCGCGTCTTCCCAGGAATCAAAGTTGCCCGCCATTTTTGAAAGTGGTTGAAAATTCGACTGATGAGAATGGCAAAGGGCTCTTAAGAAGAAGAGAAAGAGCGTAGTAGGGTCGCAGGCTGTGAGTCAAAGTTAAGTGGAGATTGAGGATCTCGACGGAAGTAGACTGCGGTTAGGTTCACAAGGTTCATTATTTGGAGGGGCAGTTTTTGGGAACAAAAAATTCCTTGGCAAGGCTGAGTTGTAATGATTTCATCGTTGGTAAGGCTGCAGTGTCGCGCCACCCAAGTCCAGAGCAACATTGTCTTCCGTCTGCAATAGCAATTCGTAAGAATACTTAAGTATGCACAGCATGCAGTACGCTACGTGGAGACTGCATTCGTCAACTATGAGCGTTGATGCCTGTTGCGCACCTGCAATAGTAGCATGAGAAGAACGTGTCACCGAGAACTTCACTTCCGAATTCTGCTCTCTTTTCCTTCTGCTCGACGCTGTCATTTCTCCTTTGCTATCAAAAGCTGCCATTTCAGCGGGAGCATTCGACCTTGTGCTTTGCAAAAATGGACGTTTTCCTGGGGAAAGTGACCCAACAGGCCATGAACTATGCCATTCGTTCAGGTGTTACCATTACAGCGTCATACGCGATCAGGCAATCAGCCAAACTCCTCAACAGCACGCCGAAAAGCAACGTTCGAGATGAATTGTATGCCTTGCAACAACGACTGCAGCATAAAATCCGCATCGTGTCGCCGGCTATTGACATGATCGAACTGATTGCAGCTCGAGGAAACACCTCTCTAGAATCAGCTGTCGCTCTCACCAAGGAGCTGCGCCTCGAGATACAATCTCTGGGACAACGACTAGCCAAGGCAGCAGAGGAACAAGCTGCTCGGAAGACCAGCAAGCTCAGTAGCCAAGCCAAAGCTCAGACTGAAGCAGATTTGGCATTGATTGTCAAGGACATCAAAAAGCTACTGGAGAGGATTGAAGATGCCGTGCCCTTGATCAATCTCGCCATCACTACCTCCGGTGCCAGTCTTTCAACGTCATTACCGCAATCTATTTCCCCTTCACGACTTCTACAAGCCAGCACGTTCCTTACAGCGGGCGACACTCAGTATTCCATCTCTCCAAATCACGCCGTTCAAATCGGACCCACATTCACTCTTACCGTCTACATGCTGTTTGCGGGCCATGACCGCCCCCAAACCGAAGAAGATATCCGGGAAACAACTTGGAAGGAAGTAATTCATAAAGCAAGAGTGAAGCTACGGCGAGTTCCCCTCGACGTCGTGCTCGGGACTGGGTCCGGATCCGATGCCATTCCTGCCGCCGAAATCTCTTCTCCTTGTGCGATTCCAAATGCAAAGACCGACCTGCCTGGCTCCGCACCAAGTATCCGTGCAGATGCCCGAGCCGATGAATACGCCTACCAAATGATGATCATTGAAGACTTTGACGACGATCGCGTCCACGACTTCGAAGACGACCAGGCTCATCCGGGCCCGTTTGACGATGTCATGCTCGCAGGAATACGGGAGATGATTCCTGTACATGAGATATCCAAGATATTCTATGCAGATACGAGCAAAGTCCTGAATATCGGGAGCGATGCAGAGAGTAATCATCCAGTGTTGCTGTTGAAGAGAGACCTGAACGCAATCCCACCGAGGCGAATGGGGGACAGAGATGGGGCGCTAGGAATAGCAGAAGTCGACCACGATAGTGAGCAAGCTCAAGATCTAGTAGCAGAGCTGGAAGAGAAGCTGCAGGAACAGCAATATGTCGAAGAAGACCACAACGGTGATCCATGGCGCTTCCCGCCGTCTCTCGACCCAGAATGGATTGCGTTTGAAGTGTACACGGAGTCTGAACCAAGCGATACTGAATCCGATATCGAAGGAGAATCCGCCGATAATACAAGTAACAAGGACGACACTACGCCCCAACTCACAAATTCAATGGCAAACATGCACATCACCTCGCCTCCCCAATCCTCTGCTCCACCTTGGGCCAACTCTATCCGCACCTCTTTATCTCTCCTCGAACTCCTGTTGCGACTCACCTCTCTGCAACAATTCCAGCAACAATCACACCTCTCCATTACAGACGAACTGCTTACTTTCTTCTTGGAAGAGAGCGCCTCGACGGGCGCAGGAGGGGATGAGAAGTATCGGCAGGCGCTGAGAGCCGACGCGAGGAGGAGAGTCGGGTGGGATCCGTACGATGAAAGTCCCGTCAAGAGGCGGGGGGAAGAGTATCAGTATCAGAGCGGGGGGTACTATGATGAAAGTAATACGAGCCTGAGGAGCCCGCAGAGCGTCGGCAACATCAGTAGCGGTGGAGAGGGATGGGTGATCAGTCCTCCGAGAAACGGGAATGGAAATGTCAAGGCGCCTAGACGGGTGACGATGATGTCGCCTAGTCCGTCACCTGCGCCGTCGCCGATAGAGACACCCGGAAAGGCCGGGAGGGCGGGATGGCTAAGGCGAGAGGGAGGTGATGGAAGCAGGAAGGGGAGTCCACTTAGGCCGCAGACCGCAATGACGGACGAGGGTATCGGGACAAGTCCTGCAAGTGCAGTCAATAAGGCTTGATGAGGCCCGGCACCTCATTTCACGGGAGGGTGAACTCAGACAGGGATCCAGACACGAGGAACGGGAATGAAGAGCCATGAGGTCCTTTAAGGGCGCCAGAGTAAAAGGCGACTGGCGGCCTGTGCGGTGAGGCCATTGTAGAAAATTGCAAAGCAAATATTAAGACTATGCGAATCCATAATCTATGCGGAACAGTTTCGTTTCGAGCTTCCCCAAACCCCGTCATCATCTAACTGCTCTGCTATTGCATTTTCTCTTGTTGGTGTATCCTTAGCACGCCATTCGGGCGTCTGAAGAGACTGCTATGTACATCGACTCGCCTCGACCGCGATGCTGCCGTCGTTCGAGGCCATTGACATTGAGCAACCATGTTGACCACTCGCCTTGGTGCCGCGTAGCCAGATTAGGTTTGCTGATGGGCTCCGTATCACAAATCCTCCAGAGTGGCTTGGTACAGATTTGATCCCCGATTCCAGCGGAACGGATATTCCTCATGAAGCGCAAAATGCACTCCGTACCTTGACCAAATCTTTCGACTGCTTTGACGAGTGCTTATTGAGAAATATAGTTTGCGAGGTATAGATTTGAAAAGCGTACCCTGCAACTTCATCTAACTCCCATCGATGCTCTTATCTGCATGATTTGTGCCCTCTCGGTCGGAGAAAAGGAATCAATAGTCCTCTGATCCATGGCCAGGACTTGTTGGATCATCTCTTGATGAGACAGCTGAGGTTGGGTGGGAGGCTGTTGAGGTGGTTGTTGCATCGTTGTAGGTGGATATTGCTGAGGTCTGGGAGGCATTTGGCCGGCTACCATGGGCGGCGGAAAGCCAGGATACTGCTGTGGAGTGGGCTGCGGTGGAGGAATGCTGGCCGGCTGAGGTGGTCTGGCAGCTTGTTCGACGACTTGTGCCAATACTTTGGGATCCACGAGATTCATCAAGATGAGAGCCTGGAATATGGCGTAAGAGAGTTGTGGCGCGGTCTTAAGAAGCGACGTGGCCCTTGCAGGATCTGAGATGGCAAGCGCCTTCATCTGAGTGAGGACATCGAGTAGCTGTGGTGGCGGAAGCGTAGCAAGGGTCTGTGAAATGGCGTCGGTGGCCCTGAGGTTCGGAGGAAGATCAGTACCTGGAGGCAGAGGAGGGAGGGCGCTGGCCGCTGTTTGTTGGAGTCCGTCCACCCCAGGACCGGGAGTCTGGTCGTAATTTGTTGGCACCGAGTCTTTCTCGTTGTTGTGAGGCCAGTCGACGCGGATCTTGCGGCCGTCGATCTCGAAATCGTTCAAGTTCCTGACCGCGCTGGCCGCCTGGTCAGCATCCTGGAAGTCTGCGAAGCCGAATCCCTTAGATTTGCCCGTATCGGGATTTGTCATCAGCCTGAACTTGACAACCGTGCCAACTTGACTGAGTATCTTGACAATGTTCTCCTCGCTCAGATCTGGTGAAAGTTAGTGGGCTGGAAGTTGCAGGATCAAGAGTAGAAGGCTCACTGAAGGGAATATTGCCCACAAAGACACTGCGACTTTGTCCAGGAGCCATGTTTAGTTGACCACGGGTTGAAGATATTTAATTGAGATTGGTGGTTGGGAAAGCAGAGGAGTGGAGGGGCATGTAAATAGTGGTTGGTTTGAGAGAGGCGCAGGAGGAATGTATGGAGGAGAATGTACTGCCTCTTCGTACGCAGTTAACAGCGGCGCCAAGCTCTTTGCTTCTCCGCAGCTGGAACACGGAAAGCTTCACTTGAATGGTACCATCATCGACGTTGCCTGCTAGCCCTCAAACCTGGAAGCCAACCTGTCCACAAATTGGCGTTCTTCGCAAGGGCGCAAAGATGTCCTACGATCCACGGGAACACTTTCAACAGATCCAGCGGACTCTGCAACAGCGTCGTGGTCAAGGCTTCGGAGGCCTTCCTGGAGGCGGCGCCGCGGGCAGAGGCATCTTCGCTTTGATCGGTCTTGGGGTTGCTGGCGTCGTTCTATCAAATTCTCTATTCAATGGTAATTCCTTTCAGATATTCCAGGCATCGATGTGTTCTGACGAGATGTAGTGGAGGGTGGTCATCGTGCCATCAAGTACAAGAGAATATCCGGAGTGGGAAAAGAAATCTACAACGAAGGTAGACGAACACTCAATATTCTGTTGCTTCATGGGTCACTGACGTGGAAAAGGCACCCACATCCAAATACCTTGGTTTGAGACGCCCGTTGACTACGACGTTCGAGCGAAGCCACGAAATGTCGCCTCTCTGACGGGAACAAAAGATTTACAGATGGTCAATATTACATGCCGCGTCCTCTCACGACCTCGTATCGAAGCTCTACCTCAGATTTACCGGACGCTGGGAACAGACTATGACGAGCGTGTCCTTCCATCAATTGTGAATGAAGTGCTGAAAAGTGTGGTCGCCCAGTTCAATGCCAGCCAGCTCATCACCCAAAGAGAAAATGTTGCGAGACTGGTCCGGGACAACCTTACGAGGAGAGCGGCGCGATTCAATATTATGCTGGATGATGTTTCGTTGACGCACCTCTCCTTCTCTCCCGAGTTCACTGCTGCCGTTGAAGCCAAGCAAGTTGCTCAACAGGAGGCACAGCGGGCCGCGTTCGTGGTCGACAAAGCGAGGCAGGAGAAGCAGGCAACCGTTGTCCGCGCACAGGGTGAAGCCAGGTCTGCGGAACTAATTGGCGACGCGATCAAGAAGAGCAGAAGCTATGTAGAGCTCCGACAGATCGAAAACGCTCGCAACATTGCACAAATTCTACAAGAAGCTGGAGGAAAGAACAAGTTGTACCTCGATGCAGATGGACTTGGGCTTAATGTCCATGCTGGAGAGGAAGCTGCTTCGAAGAAATAAGACGAGGGATGACCATGCTTTCAGAGAAACAGCTCCTCTCCTGGCAAGCCGTGTTCTATTTTGCATGTTCAATAGGAATAGTTTTCCAGGGCAAATGTAACAATTCTTCACTCGGGGTCACCTTTAGTGTTTGGCTTCACCGAACCGCCAGTCTGATCTTCCTCTTGATAGTACACCTCCATTGATCCGCTGTCCTGACTGTCTCAGCCCCGGCACCCGACAATCGCCCTGAGGGGGATTCTCCTGAGTCAATACCAAGCCCCTTTTATTCAAACGACCGTTCCGGTGTCCCGTCTCATGAATTTTTGCCTGTCCTGCTAGCGACTTTCAGACGATGTACTTGCCTCCGCAACGGACAAGCACCTTGCTCGGCTCATATATCTCGCCCAAGTCATCACATTCCGCATAGCGTCCATCCTCCTAGCTCCTAAGGAAAGATAGGTTGCGGGTGAGGCTGTTGTGTAGCTTTCCCTGCTGTACCGATGCGGCTCCCAGTGTCTCTCTTAGCGGGTGTCTAGATGTGTAGGCGGAGTATCGACTCGAATCTGTTGCGATAATAGCAGCCTAGAGATCCGTACGTGGCTTGAAAGCGGGACTGCTGCAGAGCTCCAACTCGACATTCAAGGGGATTCGAGGTAGCGCAGCGTCCTGTGAGAGGCAAAGGGGTTATAGTGTCATAGTGGTGCCAAGGGCAGCACTGGGTGGCACCTCCAACAAAAATGAGGCCATATCACTGATGGAGACTCGTAGTTCCCACATCAGCACGAATGCCACCCTCGAGTTTGCATCTCGATCTCCCTGCACTCAAGCTGCTCTTCCAGTAGCTGGGGGCTCTGGAGGAGCAGCTGGAGATTCAGACCACCCTGACTACCTCACCGACAGCTGCCAGCATCACCATGCTCAAAGTCAAGGTCCCAGAAGTCCTCTTCCATCCACCTCCTCCTCCCTTCAAGCCTCGATTGATCGAGTACACGAAGGACGCGGACCTCTTTGGCCGGCTGCGTCCGTAATCGTTCTCAGGAATCATCTTTGAACCTCTTCCAGCGATTACCGATGGCCTCTATGCACGGTTTCGCCTCCGGTTCCTCGCAGGTAGCTGCTAGGACCAGAGGCAGAATGATACCCTCACATTCGCGCCGACGATCGACGAGTCTCCTTCTGTGAGCGATATCACTCCACAGCCCTGCACACGGCATCTCCATCTCTGGAGGTCGAATGCTCCCTGCTTCTAGAAGGACTGCCAAGGGACCCACATAAATATAAAAATAACACACCCATCGTCAAGCTCGTCGAGCTCCCTCTCCCGACACCCCAGCACTCGGAGAATGTTGAGTTGGTCACCTCGGGCCAAGGCGCTTCCACAGAGCCTTAAGGAGTGCTGTAAAGCATCCAGTGCGTCTTGATCTCCTCCAAGGATCTGGTACCTGACTCGGCAGGGGAAGATGTTATCGCAACAACACAACAACCCTGGCGCGCTAGAGCGAGGCCTTTCGGGACTCGGTGTCAAGCAAGTTTGCTCAACCCATGTGCGAAGATGGCTCCAAAACAGTAGCCCTCTCATGGACTCTTCAGTATCAGCAACTCAACCTTTAGCTCTGCTGCCACCTTTCGTCTCCAGGCTTCGGCTATTCAGCGGCTTGAAAGACCTCGGATTCGGGAGCCAGTGTTCCAGAGCCTTGAACCGGTATGGAAGGAGTCTAGTTTCATGGCTTTTGTAACCACCACCAACTGTCCTATGTGCCAGTCTCTTCACAGATATGGAACTTTCTGCAAGTGTCTCCCAGACAAAGACATCTGGCACGACACCCCTCTCAATAAGCAATGTCCTCCTTATCATGCTGTTAGTGCCGGTTGATGACAAACAAACTCACCATCTGTTTGCTGGCCCGACTGCTGAGAGCGTTGGCGTGCTGTCGATCAACGCACGTGGAATGTGATATGTCTTAACAACATTGAGGTTCTTGTTGTCGTCGAACTCGTGTGCTCTGGCCACAGAATTGGGTCATCACCAATAAAGCCACTGGACTGCAGAGGAACTGGCGCAGGTTTAGGGAACAGGCGTTGCACGGTCGCCCTGATGGTGGATGAAGAAGAGAATGACAGCCACAACCACGAGACTGTGATACAATGAGCTCTCTGCGTCCAAGAAAGGGTTGAATAAATGGTCCAAGGCCAGGTTATCCTGTGCAATGCCGAGAGAATGCTCGTCCTTGATGCTTGGCCAGACAAACCGCGCCTCCGGGGTGGAGCGTAGAGCACAATGCACGATGCACGCATCCTGTTTACCCAAAATTTCGCTCTTCAATCTCTCCACCCTCGATCATGGCAAAGACCATCGAAACAACACCATTATCTACGCTTTATTCCTTCAAAATCCTCGTCTTCTGGATCAGAGTCTTGCAAAGACTTCCTCCCCTTCTTTTTGTGGAGCGCCTGTCCATTTCTTCCTGAACGGCATCTCGTTCTCGAGCGCACATCCCCTCGTGGTGTATGGCAAAAATTCTTGCGAGCCTCTGCCTTCAGAAAGCACAGCAAGTCCCAAGAGGCAGCAAGCATTTCAAAATTACCAAATCTCTCCAATCGAGAAGCCTCTTGGAACCCTCTTGGATTGCGAGTCGATTATCTTGCCGCCCAATTCCAACACCGTGCAATAAACACCACAGGATTGTAAGTTGATTCCGGACCGACCTTATATCTTCCAAACTAACTTGCTTAGCAGTTGAATAGCTCCCCCAAGACCGAAAATATCCCACATAAAACCTTTCCAGGCTCACCGGCTGTCAAGGCGCGACCTGTACAACCAAACGTGCTGGAGGCCTCCCACACGTGCTCTGAGACAAGAGTTGCGTACATATCCTTTCAACTTTAGACTGATTTGCAAGGCCTTGAATACAAGGCTCTCGGTGGCAGCACGAAGAAAGAAAATCTGCAAGAGTGTATTCAACATGGATAGCCGGCGAAAGACAACCGCTAAGGCACGTGACGAATTAGTAGAGGTCGCTACCAATTCGTACTCCACAACATACGCTAAGAACAACGCGGCCACCAAGGCGTGGAGGGTGTGGACCAAGTTCAAGGATGGGGCTGAACCAGCTCGGCCCCCCAGGAAGCGCCTGTACGACAATATCGACCTAGCTCCTACAGAAGTGGAAGACACGAAAGTGACCGATAAGGCAGACAAGCCAAAACAGGGCCAAAATGAACTCGACCTGCTTCGAAGCGCCGCCTGGAATCCCGACGATGGTGAGATATCAGCAAATGATGATCCTATTCTACAAGCTCTTCAGCATGCATCAACCGGTGGGGCCTCGCTACCAACTGGAAAAGACAAAGATGCACAGAAAGATGAAGGGAAGAAAGATGACGCACCCGATGCCAACCAGAGGGAGAATCCAACAAACGGACAAAATTGGCTCGACACCACCGCCCCCCCTCTGTCGGACATCCACCGCATCTTCGACTTCATCACCGAACATGCTGTCAGCCAAGGTCTGCTCGAGGCCTGTGAACCCTTTAAGGAATGCGGCATTAGAGTCCTCACCATGTGCTCTGGCACCGAGAGCCCATTTGTTGCCATGGATCTTGTTCGAAAGTCTCTGACCTCCCGAGGAGACGGTGACAGATTCAGATATCAGCACCTCGGGAGCGCCGAAATCGAACCTCCGAAACAAGCCTTCATCGAACGAAACTTTAGTCCACCCGTCATCTTTCGGGATGTGACTGAGTTCGGCCCACATGCAAAAAATCCAGATGATGAAGCTTGCTGGCCGGTCAACGCGTATGGAGCGCGCCAAAAGCCTCCTGGCGATGTCCACATCTTGATCGCTGGTTCGTCGTGCGTGGACTACTCTGCTTTGAACAATTCTAAAGGAGAATGGAAAGGCGAGCGCGGCGAAGGCGAATCAGCAAAGACTATGGATGGTATTGGTGCCTATGCCAAGATGTACAAGCCGACCATCCTCATCATTGAAAACGTCGAAGGGGCTCCATGGGGAGAAATAAAAACCTTCTGGGAGGGAAAAGGCTACGAATCTGTAGCTGTAAAGCTGGATTCTTTTGATTACTATCTTCCACAAACACGTAACCGAGGGTATTTACTCGGCATACACAAAGAGCGAGCTAAAGAGGTGGGATTCGATATCGAGAAAGCTCACAGAGAATGGGTCATGCTGATGGCCAGTTTTCAACGTCGTGCTTCGTCGCCATATTCCGACTTCACCTTCGCCGACGACGACCCCCGTCGACAGCTTGGCCAGCACACTCTCGAGGACAACAGATCAAAGGGGGTTTCGACCGACTGGGTAAACTGCCGCAAGAGGCATGTGGCCGCACGCGTCAAGGATGGGCTGGGAATTGGGACGCCATTCACCAAGCGCCGTGGAAATACCGAACCAAAACTTGACGATTACGCCGATCAAAGCTGGGCAATTCGCCAGAGCAAGAGGGTTCTGGATGTTCTCGACATCCATCTTCTCTATAACGTTGCTCGGCGTGACTTTGACATGCGATACAAGCACAGAAACATCAATATCTCTCAAAATATCGATCGAGATACAGACCGTCGCCAGTGGGGTGTTGTTGGATGCGTTACGCCATTGGGCTGTTTGTTCGACACCCGACGAGGTGCTCCCCTGTCTGGGCTCGAGCTACTCTCATTGCAAGGATTCCCGATCGGAGAGCTTGACTTGGGAAAAAACACATCAAGGCAGCTTCAGGATCTGGCTGGCAATGCAATGTCGACCACAGTCATTGGAGCAGCAATTCTCAGCGCTATCATTGCCTGTCATAAGATTTCGGCAAAGGATCCCAGCATATTTCCGGCGTACGGTGACGAGGCAATTGGCGAAAGACATACACCACGCGATTGTCTTTTAGAAGAAGCCAGCGCTGTCAAGGACTTGAAAGCAAAGATCAATCAGGACAATTTGAACTACAGCGTGCAAAAGTGGACAAATGCTACCGGTCCCGAATCCTTGGACGTGATCATTTGCAAGGCTATAACCCTCCAACCGTTATGTCTTTGTGAGGGCCTTAATCGACGTACCAGACATGAACTATTATTTTGCCCAGAGTGCTATTACATATGCTGCAAGGGCTGTAATAGAGACACGCATGGACACCAGCATCTAAGCCACTTGATGAACGCAGGCCAGCAACGTGACCTTGCCAACACATTTGTGGACTACCTGACTAAATTGCTTCCTCCAGTCCTGCAAAACCGATCCCCGGACGACCCAACACAACTGTTCACTGATGACATTTTTAAGTCCGCAAGAGACCAAATCTTGGAAGCGATCAAAAGTCAGGTGCAATTTCAGGGCATCAAATTTGAAAACTCTTGGAAGGCCGTTTATGAGTCGACGCATTGCCGCCTGGAGCTCGAATTTGTCCAGAAGCGCTATATGTGTAATCCATGTTCAAGCCACGGGGAACCGCGATTTCATCTTGACGCTGGCCCCCAGTGGCTGCTCTTCGCCAAAGCTCCAGCAAATGAGCCTGCAAAGAGTGCAATGCGTGACCTGTTTCGATATCCGATGGCAAGAATGCAACCAAGCAAGACCCTTTTCGAAGGCATCTGGGAATACCGACACGGGCATTCGACAGATTTCAAGCTTCACATCACTGGCAAAGGCGGACAAGTTAAGTCATGGGAGCAGAATCTAGGCATCGAAGCCAAACCCTTTGCGACGTTAAACGCGTTCTCGGCTCTGCAAATCGATCCTCTGAGTGGTCTCAGGGACGATCAGTCTTCAGTGTTTGACGGGATTGTTGGGGAATACAAGCTACTCCAGAATTGCCCTGCTCCTAGCGGCACTTTGCACCGAAGAGTGGTCCCGTCCTCATCTGAAGCACCCACATTTCTATTCCTGAAGTCCGGCCCTTTGAACGACCCGTGCCTCGATAATGTTGTGTTCTCAACTCAACCATGTCGGCGAAGCGTCAACGACGAAGGCGCATTCCTCGCAAGCATCGACGCGTCCTGGAGACCGGTTGCTACAGCACAATTAGCCAAGGGTATGGAAGTCAACTGCCAGTTAATGGATAAATGGACAGAGTCCCCAGAACAGAAGCTGGAGATGCCTACCGAAGCAAACACTATCCAGAGATGGTGTCAGAATCCAGATGCTAGTCCGATATCTCCCAAGAAGTGCGCACAGAGTTACTCGACGATTTTGCTCCTGGACTTGAGCTTTGATACGCGCGCCCAGGAAAGACTACGGTGTCGCCGAGACCTCTGCATTAACTTAGAACGGCAACCCGAAGCATTGAGCGAATTCGGGTGGATCTTGTCACATGCAGCCGGCATCCCTCAACTGGGGAACGGCTGGCAACCCATTGACGATCTCACGATTGATATGTGCACCGAATGTTGCCCTCGGGCACCCCCACTCAGATGGATTCTAAAAAGTACCAAGGCCAAAGAAATGGTTAGCGCCATGGAGAGTCCAGTCGAAGCTGCGAATTATGAGCATCTTCTGAAGTCAAGACCTAAGCCGGCGATTGCACTGTTACAAACCCTCGACGACAAAATCATGCTGAACATAGTGGTCAACATCAAGACACTAGCTCACCGCGCAGTGACGCAGCTATTCCACCACCACCAGCCCGACTCTGCGTCCAACTCTCTGGAGTGGCGAATAGAGTTGTATGACCGATTTGCTCCTCCCCAAGAGTTTGTCACTCTGGAACTTTCGTCGAACGCGGGAGATTTGGTTGATCCGCAAATAAACGATGACTTACATCTAAAGCGCCAGCTGTGGGATTCCCAAACTCGCGCTCTTGCCTGGATGTATTCCCAAGAAAACCAGCCACCACAGTGGAATGAAACGTCCTTGGTCGAGTCTTGCCTGCCTGCACTAGGGTGGAGATTGGAGACGAGAGCACTCTTGCCGAAATTTCAGGTTCGCGGTGGAATTATCGCCGACGAGGTCGGGGCAGGAAAGACCACTACATCTCTTGCCTTGGTCGAGCTAGACTATGCACGATCTGCGACAGCATTCAAAACCAACTCTCAATCGGCAAAGTTTCACTCCGACGCGACACTGATACTGGCGCCCAAAAATATCGTCAAGCAGTGGGCATCTGAGCTCGCCGACACTCTAAATTGGGAAAGACTCGACAGCAGTAGCTCACCCCCAGCGAATAGCCCGTATTACATCATCGTCGAGACAACAGCACAGCTACAGTGGTATTCTCACGAGCAAGTCCGCTCGGCTCGACTTATCCTGGCTTCTTGGGATATGTTCCACGAGGTTGCTTACTGGACCTTTTTGCGCAAGATCGCTTGCTCTCCTTGCATTCCCGACGACCCTGGTCGTGCATTTCAGGAATGGCTAAGCGTGGCTTTGTCAAATCTAACATCGTGCATAGAAGGAATGAAAAAAGGCGAAAAGGAATTCTGGTCCAGATGGGACGATGTGAGATCGAAAACGGAGTCTGAATCAAAATATGAACGGTTTCAGGGTTATGTCTCACGGGCGACGAACAAGGCCGCTATAAAAGCCGACCGCGAAGCCAAGAAAAAGACAAAAAACGCCAACCGTAATGATGAGGATGATGAGATGCCCCAAGACGGCGATCAGGAGAGGGAACGGGTTCCTCGGAATCAAGGTCGAAAAGTCGGCGCAAATACTACCACTAAAAAACCGGCGGCGACAGCTGCAGAAGTCCTTCGCGAAGAACTCGATACCTTCAAAGGCGACCGCAAAATACCTGTTCTCCTGCACATGTTTGCATTTCGAAGACTCATTGTGGATGAATTTACCTATGTCCAAGGCGAAACGTTGCTGGCGCTTCTACAGCTCGAGGCATCGGCGAGATGGCTGCTCTCTGGGACTCCTCCGATCCATGATTATGACAATGTCAACACTATGGCAAAACTACTGGGTACGCGGATTGCGACATATGACGAGAAGGAAGGGAAATTCGGATTTGGAAGGGACCGATCGAAAATGATCAGAGACAAATCTGACGCACAAGAATTTCACTCATATCAGGAGATCGCCTCGCCGGCTTACAAGAAACAAGTGTATGAACTTGCGCAAGATTTTTCTTCCAAGTTCATCCGAAAGAATAAGCCATCAAAGAAGCGTCCCCAGATGAAAAGGATCTTCTACGAATTCGAGTCCACCGCTTCCGAGTTAATCACATATTCGGACGTTAAGCAATTGGCAATGGACCCAGACCGCACATACAATAAAAAGACCACCAAAACCACCAAAGTGAATGGTGACGACCCAAAAGAGCCCGAGAGTATCCGAGACTTAACGGACTCGGTCGAGCGAACGAGCGGGCCGGTAGAGGCCCTGGTCTGTGCGAGCCTAATGTTAAAGGATGTCCAGAACGCCACCAGCGGGACAAGCGGTCAGAGTGAAGACGAGGTGCTAGGAGCCCTCGTAGAGGTTGAACTGCAGAGACTGTCCAATTTGATCGACGAACAGAAGGAGTTTGTTCTGCAAAGAGCGCGACTGCTCTTGCAAGTTCTACAAGAACTCTCCTTCCTCAAGAACGCGGTGCCAGGCTCGGCGGCAAGTTTTGCCAGTTTCATGCAGAACGCCGCCAACGGCAACTTAGCCGACACCGCGGCTCTCGAGACAGTCAAACTCCTCCTCGAGTACTCGCAGGAGAACCCTGTGTCGCCGAGGCGACTTCTTTCAAAAGCCGACGGCGAGGCCCCTTTCACGCTGAATGGGGTCCAAGAAGCCGCTGTCGGCATGAAAGAAGTCGACCTGCGTATGGCCAGGGTCGAGAACCACCTGGAGGTTCTCCTGCGGGGACTCCGCAGATTCCGTTTCCTGGGTGTCGTCAAGGGCGCCTTCGAGAGCACTTCGCCACCGGGCGAATGTTCGACATGCGGCGAGACGCCGTTACACAAGGCAGGGCTTTCGGTCGCAACTCAATGCGGCCACCTCCTGTGCGAACAGTGTCTCTCGAAGGACTGCTGTGAGTTCCGGGGGGCTGGAGACATCATTCCAGTCTCTCTTTTCGAACTCCGCGCGACCCTGGGGGCCCCCGCCTCGGTGGTGGGGGCTAGGATGCGGCTCGCGGTGGCCATCGTCCAGATGGCTACCCAGAATGGGGACTCGGTCCTGGTGTTTGCCCAATTCGAGGGCATGAAAACCGCCTTTGTCAAGGCGTGCCGCGCGGCAGGCATCAATTGCCACGATGGCTACCAGGGCGCTCAGGCGCGGGCGGCTGTGGAAGCCTTCCAGCGGCAGGGTGCTGCCGTCCTTGTTCTCAAGGTCGACAGCCCCGACGCAGCTGGTTGGAATCTGCAGGTCGCCAACCAAGTCCTCTTTCTGGCCCCTTTGGCAGCGGGCGAGGAGGAGCGCACGGCCACCATGCGCCAGGCCGTCGGTCGGTCATGGCGACCAGGCCAGAAGAAGGAAGTACGTGTCCATCTTCTGGCCGCCAAGGCCACCAACGAGCCTGGTGCGTCAGGGTGGCCTATTGTTGACCCGTGAGGAAGGGCGGGCGGTTGCTCTTGTGCGGTGGTTTGGCTCGGGGGGTCCTGGTGGATGGACAGAAGGGGAGGAACGGGGGAGAGGGCGGGGGAGGGGAGGAGGGTGGAGGGTGGAGGGTGGAGGCAGAGGCCTCGTGCTGTTCAAACACTTTCTTGTTTCTTTTCTGTGTTGATCTTCAAATGGAAAAAGGAAATGGACAAAACAAGATTGAAACAGTCTTCAAATGTCCGTTGTCGTGCGCTGAGTGCATCGTGCGTTCCAACTGTTTTGTGCATTTTTGAGCCATGTCGGCGTCCCGTTGCATCTTCATCTGCGGCTACTGTGACATTATTTTGTCCATGATCGTGCGCTGAATTCAGCTAGGGAAGGGCTGGTATGACCAGAGCGGCCGCGCATGTGCCACGGTGCTCTGATGGGGTCTTGGTTTGTTTGATGACGACGGCTTCGCACACTTCCCATTTAACCCCTGCTCCCAGTATCTCCCATTCGACCTCCGCTGACATCGGCCTCGTAAAGATGATACGTTCGTCCTGCTTACATCGTCACAGACAAGTTGTTCAAAATTCCCGCCTGGGCTATGAACCGCGTTGGCAACGGGATATAACCCATTCGTCCTCCAACCACATCGTTATAGGCGAGTCTTACGATGCATGGATCCCTTGGTCCCCATCACTCTGGAAAAATTGAGACTCATCCTCCGCTTATCAATCAACGCTGGAACTTGCACATGGACTACATTCGCTCTCTATTTACAATGCCCTGGGCATAGTGAGTGCGGCCCTCTGGTCACATCGCTGCGGGCTTCTCATGTATTTCATTCGCCCTCTGCTCATATAGTTGTGGGTCATTTCATGTGCTGTATTCGTGCCCCGTCGATACTCCTTATGCTGCGGTTGATACGACACCTTCGTCCTTCACTCACACCATTGTTAAGGGCTCGACGTTATCGACCGTCGGACGTTGTGCAGATAGTTCCACATTCCACTGTTCTTGCCCTGCCTGCATTTGAGCTCTGTAAACTTTCCATACAGGTTATTGTTAAGGCTATGGTTGGCCGCCACACTCAGCATTCCCTCGTGTTGAGTTCGTCAAATGGTGTATGCTAATCCAGCGTATATCGACCCCCATCCACACAGAATGGGACATGGGCAATCAAAAGGTGTTGTCATTTGTAGCCATTGTCGTCTGCAACCTGGACCATGATTGTGCAAATAACGTGAAAACTTTCAGAAGTAAAAGCAATCAAAATAGAAGCTCATATCTGACTTCAATTTCTCAAGCCAGCTGAGGTCCCCATAAGTGCGACAATCGTCGCCCCAGTGATCCATCAAACAACCAAATTATGATTTTTGGATCACCGTATATCACTTCTACGGCTCTTTCTGGAGGCTGATTGTATAGAATGGCTTCAACTGAGCTCACCCTACCGGTCTCGGATTTTCGCTGTCGACGCAACCCCTGAAATCGACACAGCCTCGTACTGGCTTATCATCTGGTCACATGACCACAAAGGTTGCTGGGTCATCTGATGCTCGGCAGCCTTTCCCAAAATACATACCAACCGAATATCAGGACGAACCTCAGCAGATGAGATCACGACGCCCTATACCAAGTACTTCGAGATACTGAGGCGAGAATGATATTTCCGATCTCTTTTGCTGCATATCCGCAGTTGATTCTTGAGCGCCGCGCATGAATTCTCGGGGTGTTCCTGGCGCTGTTCTAGCGGCAACAACCCCCTTTTTTTCATGGCGTTTTGCGGCTCTCCTGTGTCACCTGGTGCTCCTGTCCTTGTCCTCTCCAGACCCTCTGCCCGAGTCAGGTAGTGATTTTCATTTCATTGAATGGAATATGCCCTGGCTGTCAACGGATTTGTCGTTTCACACCCACCAGCCTCCTTTCTCACCCTGCCGATTCCGCACATATCGACCATCAAGCGGTCTTCGTATTTCGTTGCACCCTCTTTTTCCTCTAGTTAGCCCCTGAACCTTGCTTTGGGCAACAGTCGCGTCGAATCTTCCTGTCTCGAAAAATAGGAAGCCTATCTCAAGGACCGCCGCAAGGAAGGGACGATCATCGCCCCCTTTTTTTGAGCAATAACTCGATGGGCTATGGAAATCGCGATTCTCGAAGAAATTTCGCGCTCGATCGACTCCACCGCACGCCAGATTGATCTTGGGCTAACCGGACTGGATCCGAGGCGATGCCGCAGATGGGGAAGTGCTGCCATTCTGCTGGGGGCCCAACACCAAATTTAGATCCCAATCTGAGTTCTGCACTTTCGCCATGCAATAATTCTGCATGCGGTGTCGGGGGCCAATTTGAAGTGCTCGCTCGCACTCAGATCTACCTTAGTATCGCAACTCTCGTGCCATGACCTACCTCTTACATCTCCACGTGTTTCCACCGACACTGACACGGTCCTTTCTCGGTCATCTTCCTCGTCACACCTTTCTTTCGCTTCCCGCCCGGAACATTCTCTCCCTTGGCTTTCCCCGTACACCCGGGAGTCTTCCACCAGCGAGACGGGAGGAGTAGGAGCAATATATACAAGTACAAGAGCGGATCAGCGTTGGGCGTCGGTGGGTTCTTGGGCAGGGCGAAGAAGCCACCAAAAACGGACTCCGAAATTGTATGGTTGACTGGGGCGGACTCCGCCCTTGATGCGGCACATCGACCATTGGATCTCGGGATCAGGCCCTCCCCTGGATGTCTTGCTACAAGGTTGTTCAATCCATCTTGGGCGCCAGCGGTACTAGCTGAGGCTGAGAGATGATAAGGGAGAGCTACACAAGCGTCACGATAGTCGCCACAAAAGCCACTCGTAAATGGTTTGCGGTAAAGACAGATATAGATACGATATACGAAAATGACCCATCTGTGCGACGTGAACCGTGATGTCGCTCTGGCCCCCTTCCCGCCCCAGTTGGCCAGGAAATTTTTGTTGGATGTACTATCGTTGACTTTGATTTTCCATCTACCCGGGGGATTCTTGGGGCACGAGATGCATTAGGACTATTGGGTACGGCGAATGACCTCGGGACGTTTGCCAGGGCATCGTTCTGATGGCAACATTCCGACGTCATTTGCCCGGGCCTCAACAAAGCGACTGAAGAGAGATTTCGAAAAAATTTCTGTTGTGAGTTGGGGATGAGAGATGGGCAAGATGGGGAGTGGGCTTCGGGTTTGACTGGCGGGACAATCAAGCGGGAAAGCTAGCGTGGGCCACTAGGCCGCCGAACAGGCCCTGACGCTTTCAGTGACCGCCTCAGCGAATAGATCGACGGTTGTGGCGAGGCTAGGCTGCCCCCGCTGCCCAATCACCCTCCAGAGATTTCCGGTTGGCCCTGCTCAGCGATTCATCTGCGGGCGCTGGGCTGCGAGGGCTGCTCCCAACACCTGAAATCCTGATGGCCCGGAGGCTCACAGAGAGGAGCTTCAGGCGTTGTTTGGCTGCGGCCCGCCTAGAGATCCAGCTAAACCCCGTTGTGTAGCACCCGCTCCATCCAACAGGCCCAAAACAGCGTCAGGGACACATCTCAGCAACGTCGTTGTTCTAATATACCTTGCGCCTTCGTGTGTGCCTCGCTCACACACTGCACTACAATTTCCCTCCTCTTCGACCATCGCTGACTTTCTATTTCTTCTCTCCTTCCGCCTCCTTCTCTTCGGTCAGAAGACTTTCCTCTCCACTCGTCCGACCTTTTCACTCCTTACCTTCGCCTGCGACAGTATAGACTTCGGGCAATCCAATTTGGGACATCGGTAATATTGGCGTAATCCCGGTCTCCTTTTTTCGGTCCACAGAGCTCTACACGTTCACCTGTTCCGTCTCCTTTTTACGACCGCGATCGACCCTCTGGCAAGAGCCTGCCTCCTCAATTGCATGAGATAGACCTTTCTCCCTCACCATCATGGCTCCCGCCGTCAACGGTATCAATGGCACCAAACCCTTGGCCAACGGCACACCCAGCTCGTGGCAAGCAAAGCATAATGTGGCAGATCACTTCATTGGAGGGAACAGACTAGGGAAGGCTCCTCCGAGCAAGGTCAAGGACTTCGTTCAGGAGCACGATGGACACACTGTCATTACCTCAGTAAGTGGACTTCTGAGAGAGAGAGAGAGAGAGAGAGAGAGAGAAAATCCGTGTGTCTGTGCGCAGCCGCAAGCTAATAATGCTGATTTTCAGGTGCTCATTGCAAACAACGGTATTGCAGCAGTCAAGGAAATCCGCTCCGTACGGAAATGGGCCTACGAGATGTTTGGCGACGAGCGGGCCATCCAGTTCACTGTGATGGCCACGCCAGAAGATTTGCAGGCAAATGCGGACTACATTCGCATGGCTGATCAATACGTCGAAGTACGTGAGCCACGCAAAAAAAAAAAAAAAAAAAAAAGAGCAAGAACAAGAAGAGTAGCGCTGACGTCTTTGACAACAGGTGCCCGGAGGCACAAATAACAACAATTATGCCAATGTCGAGCTGATTGTTGATATCGCCGAACGGATGAACGTCCATGCCGTCTGGGCCGGCTGGGGTCACGCGTCAGAAAACCCCAAATTACCTGAATCCCTAGCAGCCTCGCCCAAGAAGATTGTGTTTATTGGCCCTCCAGGGTCGGCAATGCGATCTCTGGGTGACAAAATTTCTTCCACAATTGTCGCGCAGCACGCAAAGGTGCCCTGCATCCCCTGGTCAGGAGAGGGCGTCGATGAGGTAGAAATCGACAAAGACGGTATCGTGACTGTCAAAGATGATGTCTACGAGAAAGGCTGTGTACACTCTGCAGAAGAAGGTCTGGCAGCCGCCAAGAAGATTGGTTTCCCCGTGATGGTCAAGGCGTCCGAAGGTGGTGGTGGCAAAGGTATTCGAAAAGTCGAAGATGAGTCGCAGTTCGTGGAGCTCTACAACGCTGCCGCGAATGAAATCCCGGGATCTCCAATCTTTATCATGAAGCTGGCAGGAAACGCCCGTCATTTGGAAGTGCAGTTGCTGGCTGA